AAATCAATGGTCATTCCAATTGGATTTGAAAAAATTCGACGTATAAAATCCGTTGAAAACAGACGTTGTACATCGATTCAAATACACGGAAAATACGCGAAATTCGTCCATTTGGAATGGGCCTTATTAGGCTGTTTCCACACGAACCGAATTTCGAAAACCGAAAAGACGCCAAATCCAGCCAGAGATTTTCGGTTTTGGATAATCGGATCGGTGAAAAACATGTTTCCACGCGAAAACGAAATTTGGCAAACGAATGTCTGAAACATTAGCCAATCAGAAACTAGTACCCTACTGTCAGCCAACCAACGGAACCACCTGCATCTCATCACAACTCCGTCGTAGTCTCATTACATAGGAAGACTAGTCAGCGGGCTTTGGCGCCTCAAACTATTGCCGTTGCTGCTTTGGCGCCTCAGACTATTACCGTTGCTGCTTTGGCGCCTCAGACTGAATTGGCATCCGGGCACATTCATGTGGATTTGAACTGTAATCAGAGCCCAAAGGGACCCATCAATGCCTTGGCGCTCGTGGAATGATGTTTGCTGTGAATGTTGATGCCTGCGAAAGTCTCACAAATCCAGAGGCCAAGATCAAAAGCAACCAAACGATGCCCCATTTTAACTACAATCTCCGTCCTGGACAGGAAACTCCAATCACCAAAGCGAACAGGGCTGCAATGATGACCCGATATGGAGTGTACTGGTTGCTCGCAGCACTAATGGCTGTCACTGAACAAAAGGAAATGTCTATTGTCGAAGTTGCCAAACGGCTCCCTCTCATTTTCGAGCAGGTAGCCAAACAAGATTCCCACCTCGAAGCCAGCTTTCGTAGGGAGGCCATGAAAGAGGTGTATCCAAGCTATGACGAGATACTTTCTGCAGCCGGCAGGTTTGGTAAGCTTGACGCTGAGAATGAAAGGATCCGGAAGCGTGCTATGAAGTACAAAGCTGCTGTCAGGAAGCTTTGCGCTCTCTACCCAACCGAGAGCTTTGTTATTCCCTCCGGTGTCGCTGATGTCCCAACTCATAAGCTGGAGGAATTTGTTATGAGGACATTTGAAAGCAAGTTCCCCACAAAGGAACGAGAGGAAATGCCTCCAAACTTCCAACCATGCCTAGAATGGGCAGCGTTGGTTAGACTTGAAGCGTGGACCAATCCAAATCCTACTCCTTTCTTCCCTGTATTCACCACTTCTATTCCAATCGGTGTAGACTTGATCAAAGTAACTGTAGGGAATGCCAAACCTTCGCCGAAACCCTTTGGCGAGAGTGCTCTCCTCGTCCCAAACTGAATCAAAAGCTGCAATAGCATGGTTTCTTTGCTGGTAGTGGTCGTCGGCATTCTTGAGGTAGACATTGTAAAATGGGGAGTTGTAGGGATCCCTTTTGACTCTTGGCGCTCTTGGGCCCCGCCCTCTCATGTCTACTGATGATACTGATGAATTGCCTTCGGACGAACCCTCTCCATCAATGACACCAAGATCAAACAAATGCGGAAAGATCCCCAAATTGAGGTCAAAGTCTTGGAAGAAATCAAAACCGATATCAAATTCAAATTGGAAGGATCCCTCAAAGGTGTCCATGGAATTCTTGCTTGAATCCTGACTGCTATCACTCGAGTCGTCACTGCTATCACTCGAAGATATGCTGCTGGAGTCGCGACTGCTGCTACTACTGGTTGTACTGCTGCCATCATCACTATTCAAGCTCATAGGTTGGTAGGACGAGTGGTCCATATTGTCGATGTTGTTGGAATCCACTGGATTGCTTGATATGTGGTGTTGGAGGCACTTGGTTGTGTCAGAACCTACGCATTACAATGGTTGTGGAAGATTCGGCTGAGACAGGCAAAATCCGGCTGTCGGTTTTCGGCGCCGAGATATTGCCCCAATATTCGGCCGCCGACCAACCGAAATCCGGCCGCCGACTCAGTTTTGGAGGGAAAATGTTCGTGTGGACGTGTTTTTTTTACGAAACCGAAAACCGAGAAACGAAAAAGAGCCAAAACACTCGGTTTTCGGTTCGCGTGGAAACAGCCTTAGGCCCACGAACAGTTTTTCGATGTCGTTTTGAGCCCATATTTCGGTCATTTTGAGCCCATATTTCGGTCTTCGGAATCGCAGAGGATACGTTGGCTGGTATTATGCCCTTAAGTACCGGGGACACTTCATGGTCTCCATTTTGCATACAGGCTTTGCATCTACGAACATGTTGGGCTGGAAGATGACCGGCAAACGTAAAATTCCCGACGAATACGAGTACCTCTCTCTTATTTTTCGGCAGAAGTTTGAAGAGTTTGGATTCCAAAAATCGAGTGTATTGTTGATACTATTTGATAGAGATTGCAGTATCATGGACTCTGAGGAAAGGGTAACGAAAGGCAGCAGGAAATCGAGGAGCAGCGGCAGCAGATCCTCACGTCGCAGTAGTAGCAACAATACTACTACTACTCCCCGCAAAAGCACCAGCCCAAAGAGGAATGAACCTCGTCGAACCAAGAAAAGTAAAGAAGAACTCGTGGCTAAGGAAACAGCTCGCTCTGGGCGAGAGAGTTTTGTAGCTGGGGCGAAGCTTGCTAGTACGGAGACGCCAACAATTGAAGGCCACCACAGCGGTCATAGCAAGCATCGAACTAGCAAGAGACGAGGACAACAAGATCGACTCGTCAAGGCAGATGCTGCAGCAAAGGCAAAGAGCATCTTGGAGCGATCGAGTCAACCAATTAGTGGACCGATGCCAGGTGCACATGCCGACTCTCGTGGAACTCAAGTTGATACAGATCGAGCCACCAAAAATTCTGCATCCAAAGCAAAGGACTTAATGGTCAATGGACTAGTGCCTGGTGCCCACGAGACTGAAAAGAAGACTAGGAAAGGAAGATTCACTGGGCCTTTGGGTGCTACGGATGAAAGACGAGTGGAAAGACGAGCAAGACTTGAAGCGGAAAAGGGAGATCATCAGAATGTGGATGGTCTCGTGACGGCTGATGCTGTGGAAAGCACAGATGCAGACCAAGCTTTGGAGATGAAGGAAGATGCCAGCGGTGTTGACAAGAAACCGAAGAAGGACAAGTCGACGGATGCTGGAAGCTTCATGATGGAATCAAGTGAAAACAACGAAGCACGGAATGACAGTTCGAAGGCAAGGAACTGGGAACGATTCAAACAGAAAAAGGGCGCTCAAACCTTTTGCTGCCTGCTTTTTATCTTTGTGGTTGCAATTGCCGCTGTTGGAGCATGGCTTGGCACTAGTACAACATCGTCGATCTCAAAGGGACCATCACAACTCGAAGGTGATGGAATCACAGGGACGAATGTCACAGATTTGAAGGCGGACACCGTCCCTCCAGCTCAGGATTCCGAAACGATTACAAGTTCACCTAGCGGATTTTCAAATAGCATCATTGACTTTGAACCACCCTCGGCAGAAGATTGTGCAGCCGTCGCTAGCAGAGCTACCATACAAGGACAAGAAGCAATGCCCGTGCAGAGATACAAGCTGGAGCTCGATGCGACTCCGTTTCTTCCTATGGATCTCAGTGTTTCAGCCGACATCATTGAGGAGAAGTTTCGAGAGTTGCTGGCTCTTGCACTAACTGGATGCAATCGGGTAGTCCGAAACTTGCGACGTCTTCGCTATCTGGAAGGTTCCTTTGTGTATGCGATTGGAAATGTGGCACTCGATGCGTCGGGAGTCGAGGGGACACAATGTGTCGATGATTCCAATCTACGGTGCCATCGGGTCAACGTTGCACTTGATATTGTGGTAAAGGATGATTCGGTGAATGTCGTTGATGTAATTGGTGAAGTCAGTACCTTTCTTGGAGATGGCGTACTTGCCGAAAAGCTTGAATTAGCTGGGCTCTATGACACAATTACTGTTACGAACTTGGGATACATCGATTCTGCGACACCTCCAAACAGCAACGATGTGGCTCCTTCAGTCGGTCCGACACCAACACCAACACCAACACTTGCATCTCCCACGCAACTGAGAACTTCAGATCCAAGTGCAAGTCTCGTTTTTGACTCTACTGTAGAGCCAACCAATCCACCAACATTTGTAGCGAACCCTCTGACAACTCCAAATCCAGCCCCTGTTCCAACACCTCAGCAACCAACTCCATCACCCACAACATTTCTTAATTCGCAATCATCTTTTAGGCCCACACAAATTCCGCAACAAATGACATCGACAACCCCTACATTTGTCATTCTGACCTTGACCCCAGAGCCTTCGCAGATGCCTTCCTCAGGCCCGTCCCTGTTCCCAAGCACTGTCCCCAGCACTGTCCCAAGCGCAATCCCAACCAAAATCCCAACGAAAGCCCCAACGAAAGCCCCAACAAAATTCCCAAGCAAAAGTCCAACCAAACTTCCAAGCCCAAATCCCAGCGAAGCCCCAACCGAAGTTCCAAGCACAAGCCCATCAGTCGAACCGTCAAATCCTGTAATGCCATGCTTTCAATCGAATTCAGATCTTTCTACAGCAGTTGCTTATTTGCGTGCTTGGAAGTCTGGGTCGGGTTTTTCCTTTTTTGATCCCTTGTTTCGAGCCCGTACACGTTGGGAGGAGATCGAGGCGTTTTACGGACCAATCGAAAACTGGTGTTTCAGTCCAGATGTTACCAGCATGAAAGAGCTTTTCCGCGACAGTGGAAGTTTCAATCGTGACATATCGAATTGGGATGTTTCTTCCGTTACCGATTTGAGTTTCATGTTCAGAAGCGCAACCTTGTTCAATCAAGACATATCATCATGGGATGTTTCTTCTGCCATCACTATGGAGGACATGTTCAGCCAAGCAAAAGCTTTCAATCAAGACTTGTCATCCTGGGATGTTTCTTCTGTCAAAACAATGTGGGGTATGTTCAACCATGCATACTCGTTCAATCAAGACTTGTCATCTTGGGACGTCTCTTCTGTCACAATAATGAGGTACATGTTCCGCAGAGCAACATCCTTCGATCAAGACTTGTCTTCCTGGGATGTTTCTTCTGTCGTCAATATGTATGATATGTTCTATGAAGCAGAATCCTTCAATCAAGACTTGTCATCCTGGGATGTTTCTTCGGTCAAAGAGATGAACGGAATGTTTCTACGTGCATCATCCTTCAATCAAGACTTGTCATCTTGGGATGTTTCTTCTGCAACAAGGATTAATAAGATGTTCTACTACGCATCATCCTTCAATCAGAATCTTTGTTTGTGGGGCTCACGCATTCCAGGCAATGCCAATGTCGCCTCCATGTTTTCTGGCGCCACTAGCTGCCAATCACAATCCAATCCAAACCTCTCTGCAAATCCCCCAGGTCCATTCTGCCATGTTTGCAATTATTGACCTTCAATCATAGTATGTTTTAAAAAATAAAGTGTTAGATGGGAAAATAGATTGGAATAACTATACTGCGGTATTCATTTTCTCAAAATATGTCGGAATAATCGAACACTCCAGCGACAGCATTGTAAGCTTGGGAAAACCCAAGCATCTATGTCGCAGAGTGCAAGCAATATAAGGATAGGGGCCACTTTCCGATGCGATGCATTCTAGAGAAGATACGTCCGCGTGGGGCACATCAGTGTTGTTGGCGCATTTTTCATCTCGACCCCCACGGTCCATCACAATCCAGCGCAGATGTGGTCATCATCGAATCCTCTCGTATCCCAACATCGGAGTCACTATCGTTGGAACACGGATGGAAAGTGGATCATACCATGCCCGGGTTTAAAGGCTGCAGTGCTTTCCAAAAACTAATGGCGTTTAATTCTGACAATGGTGTTTCAGCGAGGTAGACAAATCCTTGCGTGGTCCACACTGACAGCTCTTTCTGGTGAGCAATGCGCCAAGTGAGCAATGTGCAGTTGCTTTGGCAATCGTGATACCATGGACATTCCGAAATCGTACAGTATCTGATGACGTCTTGGCTGGCAACCATACGCAGTACGTCGTTGAGTGATATAATGGCAATAATTTCTCATTCCGCCATCCTCAACGCAACGATCGCAGCCTTGCTCACTTCAAAAGACAAAGACTATTGTGCGATTACATTCATAAGATCCATCATTCAAGCCGTTCATTCCAAAATATACGAAGGAAAGATTTCTTTGGCTCGTATAGAAAACTGACTTGCTACCCTACTGTTGTGTCGGAATAATTAAGATTGCCGTCGACCGCGCGATGATTTCAAAATTCCGCCAGATTATTGAAGACGCGGGCCCGCCGTGTTCTTTTGGATATTGAAGATACATAAAACAGGTACAGTACTGTAGGTCGTACACGTACCATACGTCACACGCAAATAATGCTGATTTGAGTCAGAGACCGCACGCATTGCACGATCAAAACCAATCAATCAAATACACAGGAGAAACTGTGTACCACAATAAACCTCAGCAATGCAACCACGTTCTTTTGAAAGCAGAAGCGGAATGCGATATACTGCATCTTGCTACCGCATGTGTTCTAAAGTTGATCTGTGACCTATCATAATAATTTGCGACTATGGGTTGAAACCTCCAATCGAAAGAAAATGATGAAAATGATCATCAATCATTGATCATCTTCTCCAAGAAAGCAGAGCTGCGCAAATCACACTCATTCTCTCAGCTTCTTGGTGACACTTTGCAGTCTTTGATTGATATCTACAAGATGAATGAATTGGATCATGCTATACCGTATGCATCGTCAGAAATGCGTCTAGCAGACATGGAGCAGTAGGTCTTGACATCCATGAACGATGATTCGAAGAAGGTTGAACAGAAGAAAAAGACAGGTCGTTGAACGATTGATTGAAAAAATTACGATTCCTTTGCAACCAGCATATACATCAGCATTATTCGAGCGCATTACTGCAAAGTGAGATTCCTTTGTCCTCTGCTCTGGCACTCAAGGCTCCTGCAGAAGGAGTCTTTGACGATGCTTTGCGTCATCATATTGCTTAGTAAAGTGTCTGAAATATTGAAGATAGGAAATCATGGCATTTATAGCAATTCCACAAATTTAAAACTCAGCCAACACTGCAACACTGCAACACTCCTTGCCCTCCTCACGTCATCAGTTGTTTTCCAGCGTGATAATGAGCAAATACCTGTACTGTATGGTCTACCTGAAGGGCGGGGAGATTGTTGATTTAGATGACTGTCACATTGTGGGGGAGGTTTGGAATGGGTGGTGTCCAGCAAGAAAGTGGAAGATGAGTCCAAGGTGCCGGACAGTGCCGATGATGTTGACCATACGGCTGTGGTAGAACCATTCCAAGCACGAAAGAAAAATCGATCTAGCAACAGAAGAAGTCAACAAGATCGATACACCAAAGATAATGCTGCAAAGGCGAACAATCTCATGGATCGAATGAGTGAGCCCATTACTGGACCAATGCCTGGTGCACATGCGGATTCTCGTGGAACTCAAGATGCAAAAGACAAGAACTCTGGAAAAGAAAGATACCGCAGGCCTCTGGGAACCCAATCAGTGTTTACGGTCGAAGAACGAGCGAATTTTGAAGTGGACAAGGAAGATAATATGGATGGACTTGTTATGGCTAACGCTGTCGACAGCCACGATGCCGACCTTGCCACGGCACTACTCAATTCAATGTTAGATCAGACCCAAGAAGCGAGTGGGGGTGCTACTTTGAGATCAATGGACAAGAAATCAATCGATGGAACTCCGTCTGGTGATAATTCAAATAGAAAGACAAGCAAAAAGAATGAAGAGTCGAACGGAAGAGACTGGGAACGTTTCAAGCAGAACAAGAGCGTTCGATTATGTTGCTACCTTCTTTGCCTCGTTGTCCTTGCGATTGGCGCTGTTGCGGTTTGGCTTGCCACGCGTAACGACGGTGCATCCAATGAACCTTCGTCACAAGCTGTTGGTATTCCAAATAAAGAGATTGAAACGAATGTGCCTGTCAATACAGTCACACCAACTCAAGATTATGATGCGATTGAAAATCCTTTCATAAGTGCATCTCCTTCTGGGCCTCCTACTAGTGCCAACATTGAGGTTGCATTTGATCCACCGTCGGCAGAAGACTGTGCCGCCATTGCCAGTGGGAATACAATACAGGATCAAGACACAATGCCGGTACAAAGCTACCAGCTCGATCTTGATGCGACGTCATTTCTTCCAGTGGATCTGAGCATTTCGGCCGGTATCATTGAGGATAAACTCAGAGAGTTGATGGCTCCAGCACTTACTGGATGCAATCGAATTGTTCGAAACTTGCGATACCATCGCTATCTGGATAGTGGTGCATTTGCATATGTAATTGGAAATGTGGCAGTTGACGCTTCTGGAGTCGAAGGAGTACAATGCTTGGATGATTCGAGTCAACGATTCATTAAGTAAGTGTAGCACTTGATGTTGTGGTAAAAGATGGCTCTGTGAATGTCGTCTATGTGATTGGTGAACTCAGTACCTTTTTCGGAGATGGTGTTCTTGCTGAGAAACTTGATTTGTCTAGGTTGTATCAGAGCATTATTGTTGTGAATCTCGGATCAATGGATCCAACAGAGTCTCCGAGTACTAGCAATGCGTCTCCTTCAGCAGAGCCGACAATTACAGTTAGACCAACACCAGCATCTGAAGCCAGAAGACCAAGCCCAAATCCAACAGCCAAGCCAACCGCAGAACTAACTATTCTAACCACGTTTTCTCCCGTTGCAGGCGAAACCCCTCGGCCAACACCAAATCCGACTCCTGGACTAACAGCAAACCCGACTTCTAGTCCAACACCAAACCCAGCTCCTGAACAAACAGCAAACCCAACTCCCAAACCGACTTCTGGACCAACTTTTTTTCCAACACCTGGGCCGACGCCAGGGCTGACTTTCCCACCAACTCCACCACTGACACCTCCTCAGCCGACAGTTGCTCTAGCGGATCCCACTCCACCGCCTACACCATCTCCAACTCCCTTCCCCGCGCTCCAATCTACTCCTGGATCAACACCAAAAACCCCAACACCTGGACCGACGCAAAACCCAACTCCGGGACCAACGCGAAACCCAACTCCTGGACCAACACCAAATCCAACTCCTAGACCGACACCTGGACCAACTTTTTTTCCAACCCCCGGACCCACTGCACCTCCGACACCAGGGCCTACTTTGCCACCAACCTCTCCGCCCACGCTTCGACCTACGACCGCCCAACCTACTCCTATGCCAACCCCCGCACCTCCGACAGAGACTTGTTTTCAATCCAATAGTGAGCTTGTTGGAGCAGTTGACGAGTGGTTTCAATCTTCCAAGACAAAGGCATCGGTCGAGCGTCAATATGGAACAATTGGAGATTGGTGTTTTGGTCCGGGCGTCACCAGTATGCAAGAGCTCTTCCGCGATCGCACTAACTTCAATGAAGACATTGGAAACTGGGATGTCTCTTCTGTTGATGTTATGTTTGCAACGTTTGAGCAGGCATCATCCTTCAACCAAGATTTGTCGTCCTGGGATGTTTCCTCTGTCACCAATATGGGGTCCATGTTTAGAGGTGCAGCAACCTTCAATCAAGACTTTTCACTATGGGATGTTTCTTCTGTGAAAGATATGTATTCGATGTTTTACTTGGCATCTTCCTTTGACCAAGAACTGTCATCATGGGTTGTCTCGACAGTAACAAGGATGGGTTTTATGTTCAGCGACGCAAGAGCCTTCAATCGAGATGTATCATCATGGGATGTTTCTTCTGTCAAAACAATGTCTGCAATGTTCAGTTGCGCATCATCCTTCAATCAAGATATATCATCCTGGGATGTTTTGTCGGTGACAGATATGAGTTGGATGTTCTCGCAAGCAACATCATTCAATCAAGGCTTGTCATCATGGGATGTTTCGAGAGTCACAGCAATGGAATACATGTTCAGGAGAGCAAGTGCATTCAATGGAGACTTGTCATCATGGGATGTTTCTTCTGTGACAAGCATGAGTTACATGTTCTCAAGGGCAACATCCTTCAATCGGGATTTGTCATCTTGGGATGTGTCTTCTCTCACTGATATGGGTGCAATGTTTCAGTTTACAACAACCTTTTAACCAAGACTTGTCATCATGGGATGTTTCTTCTGTGACCGATATAAGTGGGATGTTCCAATCTGCAACATCATTCAATCAAGACTTGTCATCCTGGGATGTTTCATCTGTGACAAACATGAATGGAGGGTTTGCAAGGGCATCCTCTTTCAATCGAGACTTGTCACAATGGGATGTTTCTTTGGTCACAACATTGCGGTCCATGTTCTATGAAGCAACATCCTTTGATCAGAATCTTTGTTCTTGGGGTTTGCGCCTGCCAAGCAATGCTGAGGTTGAAAGGGCGTTTTTGGCGCCACCAGCTGCCAGTCACAATTTGATCCAAACCTCTCAGGTCCAGGTCCATCATCATTCTAGGTTTCTACTGTTTCGAGTATAAATTGGTAGAGATACGTAGAGATCTACGATTTAGTACTGTGTCATCTCTGTGAATTCCCTAATTAAATACTTCAAATGCCACCTCCTCGACCAATTGAGTATCTGCCTTTTCCCCAATAAACCCTGAATATGGCTTACCATCGCTATCTGGATAGTGGTGCATTTGCGTATGCAATTGGAAATGTAGCAGTTGAAGCTTCTGGAGTTGAAGGAGAACAATGCTTGGATGATTCGAGTCAACGATTCATCAAGTAAGTGTAGGACTTGATGTTGTTGTGAAGGACAACTCTGTGAAAGTCGTGGATGTGATTGGTGCGTTGAGCGCTTTTTTCGCAGGTGGTCTCGTGGTCGAGAGACTTGATTTGTTGGGGTTGTTTGAGAGCATTATTGTTGTGAATCTCGGATCAATGGATCCAACGGAGTCTCCAAGTATTAGCCATGCGTCTCCTTCAGCAGAGCCGACAATTACAGTTAGACCAACACCAGCATGTGAAACCAAAAGACCAAGCCCAAATCCAACATCCAAGCCAACCGCAGAACTAACTATTCTAACCACGTTCTCTCCCGTTGCAGGCGAAACCCCTCGGCCAACACCAAATCCGACTCCTGGACTAACAGCAAACCCGACTTCTAGTCCAACACCAAACCCAGCTCCTGAACAAACAGCAAACCCAACTCCCAAACCGACTTCTTGGCCAACTTTTTTTTCAACCCCTGGGCCGACGCCAGGGCCGACTTTTCCACCAACTCCACCACCGACACCTGTCGTACTGTATAGTGTCGGAAGATTGTTTGTCGTTGACGACGTGTTCTTATATTGTAAATCATCATGAATGTTGAAGGTTTTGCAATTTCAAGGGTCGATTTCAAAATTCCGCCGGATTGAAGACGCGGGCCGGCCACATTCTCGCAGAGCTCGGCTGGTACCTGGTACAGATCCTACCTAGATTTTGGATGGCTGACATCATCGCTTCTGTTTTCCGATCTTTTCTTGCCGATCCTGCTACCTTGTCGTGTCGCCGATTTTCATCATATATAATCTGAAGCAAGAAAGCAAGAAAGAAAGAAAGATGGTTGCTGCTGCTGGTGCTTTAGTGGTGAAAATGGTGATTGCTGCCTTTGCAGGAATGGGGGCTGCTACCATTTGCCATCCGTTGGATGTGATCCGCGTCCAGATGCAAACAGAAGGATCCGAATACAAGAGTCCTCTTGATTGCGCCACCCAAGTCTACCAGAAGAATGGTCTTCGTAAGGGTCTATATGCTGGTATTAGTGCGGCGTATTTAAGACAATGGTTGTACGGCAGTGTAAGTCATTGAAGCTGTAGAAAGGGTATGCCTTGGGTATCTGCTGTGCGTGGTGCTAACCATATAGCCTATTTTATTGCTTGCCATTCGGTCACATTGAATATGTCCATCAATTATATGTGTTCAACCAAATGGTACTGTGTACCAAAAAATATCAAACATGCCACATACCATCATATAGTGTCGCATTGGTATTTACGCCTTCCTTTTGGAAAATGCCCAACAAAAGAACCTTGCCGAAGGTTTGCCAAAGAACCAAATTGCCTTGGGAGCTCGTTTGTTGATGGGAATGACATCGGGTGGAATTGGCAGCTTTGTGGGAACTCCCAGTGAATTGGCCTTGGTTCGCATGTCCAACGATTCGAAGCTACCAGACAAACAAAAACGAAACTACAATGGCGTTGTGGACTGTGTGAGTCGTATTGCCAAGGAAGAGGGAGTCCTCAAGCTATGGACCGGTGCCCAAGTGACTGTCATTCGGGCCATGTTGTTGAGCGCTTGTGCTTTGGCCTTTACTTCGGAAATCAAATTGCGATTGACTGGAACTGGAATCTTTGGGGATAATGGACAAATGCTTGGAGGAGTTCCACTATTGTTCTGTGCCACTTTGGTCAGCTCGTTGATTGCCAATATTGTTTCCAACCCAGTGAGTTATTTTTTGACGAATTCACGGGACATTGCTTTGGATCATCATCCATCTCACCGAAATTCCTGCTTGTACACAATCTCTTTTGTTCATCATAATTGTATCCTAATGTATAATGTTACAGTTCGACGTCGTCAAGTCACGAATGCAAAACCAACAGACGGCCAAGGATGGTTCCAAGCAATACGCAAGTATGATTGATTGCTTTGGACAAATCATCAAGAAGGATGGTGTCCCCAGGTTGTGGGCTGGCTTTGTTCCGGCCTTTCTCAAGTTGGCGCCCTACACTGTGATTAGTTTGATTTTGACGGAAAAGATTACCATGGCTATCACAGGAAAGGCAGCGCTGTAGATAGGATATAACTACAGTAGTATATTATGCTACAACGAATGAATCAATGAATGAATGATGGACTAATTTAAAGAACTAAAGTATATACCTTTACTAGACTCTATTGAATGGGGAGTAGACTAACTTTTCTCATCCGGCAGATCGAGAGCATGCATATGGCTCGGAAGTGTCCGATTGTGGTTCGGACACGTTTATTCGAATCATGAAAATTCAACTCCTTTCGCATACTAAACCTAGCACACACGCGTCTATAATACTACCTACAGAATGGATGGTCTTTCCTATTTGGCTACAGTACCTAGGACTAAATGGAGTATAGCATAATCCCATATCCTACAATACCCCTAATTTACTTCTTTTGAATACTACTGCTGCAAGTGCTTCCACCCCCGTATGACTTGCGGCGAGTAGTACTATTCGCACCACCACTACGGGCCGGCTGTGGCAGCATTGCGCCATGACGATCTCCATTTGGCAATAAGGACTTTCTTGCGATTGGCTTATTAGTCTTTGGTTTCTTCTTGTCCCAAATATAATCTTCCGATGAGGCAAATTGGCTCGACGCGCTCTGCAAGCCATTGGATGGAACCCAGTCGGGAACAATCTTGGAATTGCGAAAGGGACGGGGCTTTTTGGGCAAGGAAGAAAGATTCTCAATGATGGTGATTTCGGGATTGGCTTCACGTTCACTTTCACGGAATCGTTTGCGGGAAAGCAACTTTTGCATCTTGGGACGACTCTTGCTTCTAGTACGGGTGGCGGTTGATGGTTCCGATGCTTCAGTGATGCTGGCCTGTGTCAAAATATTACTGGTATCGAGTTGACTAGCCTCCTCGTTTTCTTCCTCTTCCAAGGCAATGGTCTTCATATCGAGTGGCGTAAGACAGCTGACATCTGAAGCTCTGCTCCTTTCTTCCCGTCGCTGACGCCGGGAATGCCATGCTACATCCGCAGCAGAATTGTAGTCGCTATCCGGAGGCAAGGTAGATACGTAGGACTCATTGTCATCTCGTGAGTTCGGACTTTGGCCGTTGGTGAAAGCTTCCTTTGCTTCCATTGCCGCTTGGTCATCAATGTCTCCTTGTGGCGATTTGGCGCTATTCTTCGATTTAGAATTTTCCATTTCGTTGGACTCTTCATCGACTTTCTTGGACGTTGCAGAGATACTGTTTTGAGAAAGGTCAGGCGTTTCCTGAGATGGACCAGTAGGTTGACCAAGACTTGGAATATGGTCTTCCTGCTGCAAATCATCGGTAGGAGAAACCGAGACTCCCATGCTTTGGTTGGATGTCGAACGATCGTCGTCTTGATTCTCAAGAGGAGTCTTGATGCTATTCGCAGTTGTCAGTGCTGACGTTTCCCAAGTATTGAATGGTGGACTTTGTTCAATGTCGGTACTCTTTTTTCCGTTGACTTCATCAAATGTTGCAGCAAATGACTTCTCGTCGAAGTCAGACTCTATGGATTCTTGAGCGGCAGCTTCCAAAGGCTCTTCCGGGACGTGCTTTTTGTCACCACTAAGAGCAGCATCAATACTGCTGCTTCTTGGATTGTCGACATCTTCCATCTCATTGTTGATTTCACTTGTCGCTTCGAGTTCCCGCCGAGAGCTACTAGTAGTAGTGCGAGGCGATGATACTGCGAAGGTCTTGGACTGTTTGGCGGGTGGTTCTTCTTCAATATTTTCCATGCTTTCGGAGGAAGAATCCGAATCGACAATTCCAAAAAACTCATTTCCGACTTGTGGGATGATTCTTTTGGACAGTGTTTCTCCTTCTCCTTCTCCTTTTTGATAGTACTGCTTCGCTCCTGAAATGTTTTCCAAATTTCGTTTCTTGGTGGGCGATACGGATTCGTTTGGATCCAAAACGTTTGTGATAATAGATGCCTCCTTGAAGCTTGACTCGGCGTCATCTGCTAAACCTTTTGTGTCTTCCTGAACTGCTGACAAGTTCTTGGATTCTTCGACGCTGCCTCGTTCATCGATTTCCAAAGAATACTCTTTGAGAATCGCTTCCTGTTGTGTTTCATTTGCACAATCTTCACGGCTAGGAGCTGGACATTGGGGTTCTTCGTCCATATCAACATCACCCTTATTGGTAAGAAAAGTGGACTTGGAACATTCGTCTTTCGACAGTGACGATTTCGTAGTAATAGAAGCTTTGTCCGCCGAATCATCATCATTTTGGTAGACTGAAAATCTAGCTCCATTGACTTTTGGAAAATAATCGTCGTTCGTACTGCATCGCTTGTCTTCATTTTGTGCCACCGGCGACTCGAAATCAGTCTGAGCTGCTTGGCTACCAGCAGTCGATGGAGTGGTATTGACAGCAGCACCAGCACCAGCACCAGCAGTCGATGGATCTTCTGGTTGCCGACGACTCGAAGAATCATCGCATTTCAAGGCTTGCACCAATACACCGCAGTGATGAGTTTGATGATTTTGTTCTTCCTCGACTTCACCGTCTTCCAGTCGAGCAATTTGTTGCGGCGCCCCCTCCATCACCAATGCCAATTCTTGTTCGTTTCGGAGCAACAATGGTGGCATCATTGTCACAATGTTACTCGTTGCGGTTCTTCGCTTTTTGGTCGTAGTGGTGGTGGTGGTGGTAGTAGTTGTCGTAGTTTCTTCTTCCTCCTGCCTTGCTGGATCCACCGCAGCTTGCACCAACAGTACATCGTCTTGTGCAACATGTGATCCGTGAAACCCAGCAACATGAAATGGAACAATGTGCCCTTGTACATTTTCGACGAGATCTCCGTGGCCCCTAGATAATCGTTCCGATTCTTCTGTTGCTCGAATCGATAGCAGGGTCCCGTTGTCATTGTTACCACCATCGTCATCATATACTGGATTGGAAGAATCTGGCAAGGCTGGCGAAGTTTTGTCATTGAAATCGGCCAGAGTGCCATCAATACTAGCAATATCTTGGTTGGAATTGGAATTGGTTGGCAATGAATCATCATCGTCTTGTTCTTTTTCGTGTTGAATCGAAGTCGAATTCGAATTTGTTTGGCTGCCCAATCCTTCATCATCATGAGTGTGATTCTCCGCTTGCTCTTGCACTACTGCATTTAGTAGTGGCGCAGTCTCTTCTTGACGGCAAATTGTATGGTCTTTCGCATTCTCAGTATCACTGTTAGTATTCTTCTTCGTCGCCGATGGAAAGGACAAATTCAAAGTCGAATCTTCTTCTTCCTCCTCCTCCTCCTGATTCTGGTCGAATGGTAAATCGTCTTCTCTCACACCACTATTAGTAGTATTAGTAGTAGTGGCAGTAGTAGCAGTAGTGGCGTGGCGGGACAAGGTACTTGTCAAATACACTTGGCGCCATGCTCGTACATGCCATGAATACAAGACGGGCAGCAACAATACCAGTAGATCCCAAATCGTAATGCTGGTAGTAGTTCTTGATGGATTTGGATATTGATTTGGATTTGGATGATGCTGCTGCAAGGCTGGCATAGTGGTAGTAGTAGTAGCGTTGAGTTCCACGCGAGCAATGGGCGAGGCGAAATTGACATTGACATTGGCATTAGCATTATCGCTGGAATAAGCCATTTTCGGAAGAGTGGCCAATCGTCTCGTCAATAGAATAATATTGCTGTCATTGCTTGTTGGATTGTCCATTGTTATTGGTTCATCTTGTTGCCAGAGCGTTACCAGCAACGATCTTGTTTGTGCTTCTTCGTCTAGTAGTGCTGGAATGTTTCGATTATCGGATCCATCGTCATTGCTACCAGGAGAACAAAGTGGAATCAAGATGGTAGTCCGGATGGTTGGAATGGAACAAAACGTATTGATGGTTGTAACAGCACCAGAAGATGTGATAGTCGAATTGCCACTCCGGTATATCATGCCGTCATTGGCACCACTGTCCCTTCTCCTTTGACGACAAACAACTTCGGTTGGATTCCAACGAATGCTTTCTTGTTTCCAGAACGAAGGATTCTTCTTGCCATTCTTGTTGTTGTTCGCATCATTATGATTGTCCAGTAAGTCCAACGCAGAACAAGCATCATTGGGAGAAGCATCTTGGACCGTCAAAAAGAAGGAGGAATGAGAAAGATGCTGATGAGTTATTGTTTCGTGGCCGTGTTTGTCCGCGTGGACCATGTTTATCGCATTGCTATAGGAATTGCCGTATTCTTCTCTATCAGTATCGCCATCACCACCATCATCATGATCATTGTTGTCGTTGTTGTTGTTGTATTCAAACGACAGACTTGTGGAAACAATCAACAGACCGTGCGCATTGATTTCAAACAAGGACGAAGACGAGGAAGACGACATGACTGCTGATGTATCCAGGTGTGACGGCGGGTGGCCAATTTCCAATTCCTTGATGCCACTATATACTCGTATATACTCGTCGATCTGCCGCAGAAATTTCGAGATATGATGGCGCGACAAGATTTGGACTAGTTATGTACTGCTTGGCTGTCGATTGATCCGATTAGACCTACTGTATACTCTTGATTAGATAGACCACACCTATGTATACCGGTAGGACATAATGACAATAATAAATGATGATTATTGCAGCAATCCTTACCAGTTTGACAGCTTGCTTACTTCAGAATGAGAATAATAATATGACAATCCATCATGAAAGAAAGAGAGAGAGAGAGAGATCTTGACATTGGAGAGCTTCCTGCTACTTTACACGTACCGGTATTGCGTACTTCTAAGAATGTTGATGACAAGGCGGTTTTGCAATATGTTCAAGGGTCATCGATTGCAATGTGATCGATATTTGCGTTATTGCCCTTATATTGTTCCTCTCATCTCTTGATGTTCTTCCTTGTTGTTGCTTATGCGGTCGTTCGCAAACAATTAAGAACGATCCAATTTAAAATTATCTGATCCATGCATTGCTATAATCCATTTTTATTTATAAAAAAATCCACTACGATCTACAATCTTTTGAATGTAGTATTATCATCATGCTCATCATCATCATGATCATCATGATAACAACAATGATAATTGTTCAGCAGCATTCAATCGCTCCACGTCATGTACAGTCATGGTTTCCTGTATCCAGTACTCATTTACCACATATAACAATTCGTCCGGCAGTTAATCCCACTTGTGCGGTGGCAAGTTGTTGCTAAAGACGGGACGATTGTTCAAATTGGGGACCGGCCCGTTGGCCTTGTAGAATGCGACCAATTCCTTTCCCTTGGTTTCAATGTTCCCAGCTCCGAATCCAAAGTATTCAAAGAGATCGGCACCAGGTGCGGAACATCCATATCCAATCATGCTAATTTGCGCATGGGAGAATCGATGCCATCCACTGGCGCAGGAGGCTTCAATGCTCAAGGTAGGAATATCTCCTGGCAGGACGGACTTTTGATATTCCACAGATTGTTCCAAAAAGATTTCTTGACATGGCATGCTGACGACACGGGTGGCGATACCGGAGGACGTCAATTTTTGAGCAGCCTCAATGGTAGGCCCCACTTCACTTCCAGTGGCAATCAAAATGAGGGCTGGCGACTCGACTTGTACGCAGGCATAGGCACCCTTCATGGCCATTTCATGGGACGATCCAGCAATGGCCGGAACCTTGGATCGGGAGCAGCAAATGGCAGTGGGAGTCTCGCGCTTTACCAATGCAATTTGATAGGCAGCTGACATTTCGTTGGAATCACCCGGTCGAAAGACATTGATATTGGGCATGGAGCGCAACATTTCCAAAGTTTCAATCGGTTGATGGGTGGGTCCATCTTCTCCCAATCCAATCGAGTCATGGGTAAAGATGTATAGGATTCCGAATTTACTGAGTGCCGACAAACGAATGGCCCCCGCCATGTATCCGGCAAAGGTCAAAAAGGTAGCACAATAAGGTCGGGATCCACCATAGGCAAAGATTCCATTGGATATGGCGCCCATGGCATGTTCGCGGACACCAAAGCGCATGTATCGTCCTTCGGGGGTATTCTTTTGAAAGTCAATGGCACCTTCATAGTGGGTCAAGTTACTTGGAGTCAAATCGGCCGATCCACCAATGAGTTCTGGAAGAGATGGGCAAATGGCATCCAAACATTTTTGGCTCATTTGACGAGTGGCCAAATCCTTGTCCTTGCCAATTTCAAACTTTGGAAACTTGTCAAAGGTCCCCTGTGGCAATAGATTGCCGGCAAATCGACGTTCAATTTCCATGGCCTTTTCCGGATATGCCGCCTTGTACTTGGCAAACATGACGTGCCAATCGGCCATGACGGCGTTATTCTTACTGGTCACCTCGTCAAAGTACTTTTGGACGTCTCCTGGAACGTGAAACATTTCATCTTCGGGGAGTCCATAAAACTTTTTGGTTCCGGCCAAATCTTCCTTGCCAAGAGGAGCACCGTGAGCTCCATGAGTTCCCTCCTTGCTGGGAGATCCGTAACCAATCTTGGTCTTGATGGCGATGATCGATGGCTTGTCGGTCGTCTCGCGGGCACTTTTCAAGGCCGCTCTCAAATCATCCAATTGCGTCACGACGTCCTTGATTTCTTGGACGTGCCATCCATAGGCCTCGTAACGTTTTTGGACGTCTTCGGTAAAGGACAATTCGGTAGATCCGTCAATGGTAATGTCATTGTCGTCGTACATGACAATCAATTTGCCCAAACCCAAATGGCCTGCCAAACTGCAGGCCTCTGAGGAAATGCCTTCTTGCAAACAGCCATCTCCGCAAATGACAAAGGTGTTGTTGTCGAAAATCTTGTAGTCGTCGGTATTGTAGGTGGCCGCCAAGTGTGCTTCGGCAATGGCCATACCGACGGCATTGGAAATACCAGTTCCGAGTGGACCAGTGCAGACTTCAATGCCTGTATCGTTTGATTGTATAATTGCATTGGTGGTGGTGAGTAACAAGCACACATACATGATTGATTGATTGATTGATTGGTGAATAAAAGAAACGACATCAAACGACCCGAAAAGCAGATTATTATATCGTCGAACAATGTAATGCAATGCAATGCAATGTATAATATTCAACAGTCAACACTAAATATTCAACATTCAAGATTCAATACAGTACAATATCTGTTAGCTTACCTTCCGTCAAGAAACACTCAGGATGGCCGGGCGTTTTGCTTCCCAATCTACGAAACTGGGAAAGATCCTCCTTGGTCATATTGTAGCCAGTCAAATGCAACATGGTGTATTGGAGGGCACAGGCGTGTCCGTTGGACAACACAAAGCGATCTCGGCCCATCCACTTTGGATCCTTGCCGGAGTACTTCATGAGTTCCGTCCATAGCAAATACGCCATGGGAGCGCAACCCATGGGAGCTCCTGGATGTCCGGATTGGGCCGATTCGGGTTGATCGGCACTGACGGCACGGATGGTGTTGATGCATTTGAGTTCTAGCTCGCTTCCTTTGTAGTCTGGCATTTTTGCTTTGTCTGTTTGTCTTTTGTTTGTTTGTTTGTTTGTTTGTATAACTTGTGTAAGTTGATTTTATGAGAGCTTATTAACAACTAGAGCAATCACGATCTACTTTTTATTTTTTGGATGTATGTTTTTCGTCGTCGTTGTCAGTTGTCGTTTTTGATTCGGGGTGTCACAAAAGGCCAATCTAAAAACGCGTGGTCAGCTTGACAAGAAGCGAACTACCACAACAACAAGAAGGGAATTTAGATCTTTGAGTCCCACGTAATTAGTACGTAGACTTGGTAGCTTTTTTGCTAGTTTTGGCAATACCAAGATTCCAGAATTCGAATGGCTCTGCGGGGCTCACCCTTTTAAGGGGTGACGTGGAAAAAATCAGAATTTCTGTAGTACTACCGGTAGGTACGATACATACTTGGAACCCACAGTTCCGATCGGCGGTGCAAAGATCAGACGGGCGGGAGGATCCCAAAAGAGATCATGATTCGGATATTTTGAGACAAGGGCCTTGGAACACAAGGAAAATAACCCCGTCAAGATATCTTCTATCTTCTCCTTTTTTGGAATTACCTTCTTTGGACTTCTTGGTAGGAGAAGGATAATATTGCCTTCGCATTGACGATGATGATGATGATGATATCTAATACTAGTAGGTAGGTACGGTAGTTTTACGTTTACGTATTCCACTGTTTCGTTATAGTAGTATTTTAATATTAACTCATATATGCACACATTCATTCATTACTTCATCACGTCATTGCTCCTCCACTGCGTCATTGCTCCATTTGCCGATGCTGGTTTAGAAGCAAAAGCAACAGTAACAGAAAGGCTCATCCAAAGCACAATCGGCGATACCTTCAAAGACGGCAAGGTCCACATTGTTGCACAGTGGATCCAAATCTCCCTTGAGCTCTTCATTCTTACGAACGTTCAAGCTTACCAAATTGGACAATTCGTACAGCTCGGTAGGAATGCCGCCGGCAAATTCGTTTTCGTTCAATTCCAATTCCTGCAGGTTGAACAATCGTCCCAGTTCGGTCGAAATGCGAGACGAAAATCGATTGGCGCTCAAATCGAGAGACCTCAAGGCGCTCAAGAATCCCAATTCCGTGGGAAGGGTTCCATTCAAACCGTTGCCGGCTAAGGAAATGTTGGCCACCTGGAACAAATTGCCAATCTCACCGGGTAAGGTTCCATTCAAGTTGTTTCCACTCAAATCCATGGATTGCAAGGAAAACAATTGACCGACTTCGGTTGGAACAGATCCATAGAAACCAACATTAGCTGCAAACGATAGCAATAGCAATAGCAATAGTAAGAGTAGAAAGAGTAGTAATAATAAAAGTAGAAAGTGTGAGATGCGATGGAGAAAATAAAGTATAGAGCAACAGAGCGGTAACATAGTGCCATGCAAAAACGAGGACTTACGCAACGTGAGAGTGTGGAGCTTTTCCAAGTTTCCAATTTCGCTGGGCATGGGCGAGGATCCACCCAAGCCAGACACGTGAAGTTTCTCCAAGTCTTGCAACAAGGCAAGCTCAGATGGGATGGTTCCATTCAAACCATTCACATTGTAAATGCTAACCTCTTCCACCTTCAATTCTCGGTTGCACCAGATTCCAAGGAAGAATTGAGATCGCCATTCGCAAATGGAATCGGTTCCCAAGAAACCAAAGGAAGTGTCCAATTCATGACTGCCACTAGTATCACAAGTAGTATCGTCTCCAATCAAACTGTAATACGTCGTGGCGGCCACAAAACGTTCCAAACTCAATGCAATGGGCATATCTTCAATGATACGTGCGTCCATACCCTCCATCTTGTCATCGTTCTTGATCCACTTCAGTGCCTTGGCACGAGGATCTTCGCAAGGAAGACTGGCGATTTCACTGGAACCACCATTGCCACGGTCGACGGCATTGGCAAAGTCTTGGAGGTATTCGGCATACGAGTAATTCGCCAAGCCAAAGGGATCGCCAGCCGCGGCGGGAGCAGGATCGTCCGGTTGATCCAACACCAATGGCAAGACGAGACAAAGACCAATAATGAAACAACAACAAGCGCAGCAGAACAAATATTGGTTCATGGATGGTTGCTTGGTCATCTTTTCGTTAAAGGTTCGTTTGTCCTTCTTCTTTTTCTTCTTCTTCTTTTTGCCATTCTCATCAAATTCACCACTGCTGGCGGATTCTTCGTCCCCTTCTTCGATTATTGGTTGATCCTTGCTCATGGAAATATCCTTGGGAGGAGGAGGGGCTGGAGTGCTGGGGAATTCGGCTCCCCAATCAAAGGTTTGAACCGATTCGGAACCAGAAACGGAACCACCCTTGCCGGATTCATCCCGATCCTTGGAATTTTTGCTTTTGGATTTCTTGCTGTCACTACTTCCATCCGAACTAGTGTCCGTGCTGACATCCGAGCTGTCATCATCATCATCATCGCTGGGGGCAATGGCGGCGCTGCGGTCCTTGCTTTTGTTCTTGCTGGAGCTGCTGCTCTTGCTCTTTTTGCTGGAAGAGTTGCTCTTTTTGCTAGTACCGCTGCCGCTGCCAGATCCAGAGCCGCTCTCGGAATCAGACCCACTGCCTGATCCACTACCTGATCCACTGCCAGAGCCTGATCCAGACCCACTGCCTGAACCTGATCCAGAACCACTTCCACTATCGGATCCACTACCAGAGCCGCTGCCGGAACCCGATCCAGAGCCGCTCTCGGAACCGCTGCCAGAGCCACTGCCGGAACCGCTACCGTCATCGGTAGTATCATCATCGGAATCGCTTCCGCTTCCACTGCCGGATCCGCTATCAGAACCACTTCCGCTGCCAGATCCACTGCCAGATCCGCTATCAGAGCCGGATCCACTGCCAGATCCACTATCAGAGCCGCTTCCACTGCCAGAATCACTACCATCATCGGTAGTGTCATCGTCAGAACCGCTTCCGGATCCACTGTCAGATCCAGATCCAGATCCAGACCCACTGCCAGAGCCAGAACCACTTCCGCTGTCGGACCCAGAACCAGAGCCAGAGCCAGATCCACTGTCGGATGTATCACCGCTCTCCGACGTGTCATCGCTGTCAGATGTGCTGCCGCTGCCGCTGTCACTGCCAGATCCACTTCCAGATCCAGAGCCAGAACCACTGTCAGAGGTATCATCACTGTCGCTGTCGCTACCACTGCCGGATCCACTTTCGCTGCCACTGCCGGATCCGCTTTCGCTGCCACTACCGGAACCACTTTCACTGGTGGATCCACTTTCACTGGTTGCGTCAGAGTCGCTCTCAGAGGTTTCTCTGGAACTATCATCGGAGCCGAATATGTTAAAGACTGGCATGGTTGATCACTTCAATCCAATTGAATTAAATTATATTCGGATGTTGTTCTTGTATTGATGTACGTAGATTTGTGTATGAGTATACTCTCTTATATGAAACTGCGTTTGTTCAGGTATCACAGAAAATGTTATAAACTGTGCGGCGCTTTGTTTCGTTCTTGCTTGTTTCAGTGCTTTCTTGTAAGCTAAGATCTACGGTAATCAGATCAATGCTATTCAAATATCTTCAATTCAACAATCACTTCGTTGCTTGTCTTGGAAATGACTTTTCACTTGTGCACTCGGAAGTGAAGTAATATTGTTTCCTATTATCTGTCATCAAATAATCATGCCTGTGACTCGTCGTCCCCAAAAAAATCGATTCCCAAGACACGAACACGACTTTTTCGGCAAGACTATACGCCCTCCGAATTGACTGCACATAAATACATTTGTAAATTGAAAATGTTGGTTCGTTTTTTGTCCGGCATGAAAACTCATAGAAAGGACTCAAGATTACTCGGATTAATCACACTATACGTTTCTGGTCACATGTATCGAATCGAATATCTCCAAATTGGCGATACTGTACTGTAGCTGGTAAAGATCAACTAGGACTGTACTACCTATAGAGGCCCCCATCCCTTCACCGTAGTGAAGAACGTTTCATTCTTGTATTCGATTCGTCACCATGCATTTGCCAAGTACTTGCCAAACCTAGGTTAGTATTCATTCATTCATGATTATTTCATTCATTCATCTACCGCATATGTGATACGATCATGACAGCAAATACCACCAATGAGTGTACAGTACTCTAGACTACTATAAAGGAAATGGCTCATGTTATTGTATATTGCATCTGTTGATCTTTATGTATATTTTTTGTTTCGATCTTTGAATTGTTTCCGTGCAAAGTTGTATTTTTATTGATGCATACATTTCTTTTTTGTTTGGTTGTATTTATCGATGCATAATATTGATTCAAGTTGTTGTTTTTGAATTTTCTTTCATTCAAAGAATCATTATACCTTGTCATTCATGTTGCACGGTGTTCATTTTATTGATGCGTTCGAGGGACAATGACCTCTTCTGTTTCATTTTTGGTTGTCATATTATTATTTTTTCTTTCATTTTGACTTTTGCATCTCTTGATGCATATATCCAATAGTAGTGTAGATGTACTGAATTGTGTACATACTACGGCATGCCTTCGACATACTCTTTTGGGACTTTTTTCACCCAAAAAGGAGCATTGAAGTACATACTGACTTACGCGATTCTTGGACCACAACAGCTCGAACTTAGAGCTGAAGCAGGATCAACGGTAGCGGTCGAAGGACGTGAACTCTCTTTTGATTTCGTTCAGCCTTGTTGGAAGGATCAGTGGAATAATCCTTCAGGAGAATACTATTTGGAAATAGCCCGTAACCACGCAAGGATCTTTCATCGAAGCATCCTCCTCGTCTCCAGATGTTCGTGACATTGTCAGTTGCGAGTGCAATAGTGTTGGCCAACATTTTCTGACAAGTCAAGAGCACTGAAAAGAAGAAGATAGTTTCGAGAAAGGTCGTATGTCTGGAAGCGGGTTACGGGTTGGCGATCTCTTTGGAAGATCTATGGACCATCGAGCTCCATTTCATCAGTATCGACTTGCATCCAGTCAATTTCAGGTAGATCGATTTCCATTTCATCAATATCAACTTGCATCCAATCGATTTCCGGTAGATCAATGTCCATTTCGTCTTGGTCAACTTCCATCGCATTGCAGTCGATGGAAAGTCCGGAGAATCGTTTAGCAAGCTCGGTTACAGAAGCATTGCCTGTGGCGAGTTCCAAAGAAGGATGGAGCGAAAGGTAAGTCGCCATCATTTCAGCTTCAATTTCGTCTCCAGCAGCATTCAGACAATCAGATTGCGGCATGACATCTTGTGTTGCTGGTTGTGAGAAAGCCAAAGGTGCTGGATCAGACAAATCGAGGACGATCTGATTTGGCTCGTTCTTGGTGGTGGCGGTGGTGGTGGTGGTTTGCGATGACAACCCCATTGTTTCGTCGTTTTCTTCCTCCATTTTCGCTTTGGTTTCATTGCAGTTAAGGGAAAGATCAGAGAATAGTTTCATAAGCTCCTCCATGTCGTCTTGGTTTTGCTCGACAGTGACGTGACGGTCGTCCTTCATAAGGTTTCCACGTTGTTGCTTGGTTGCAAAGAAGGTGTTCATGTTTGATTATGATGTTTGGTGTTTGGTGTTATATGCGAAGCGAAGAATAAGATTGCACAAAAAGCTCGGCGCTTTGTTTTTATGAGCTTTTGGAGTGTGAAAGTCAAAGTGGCCAGAGTGCATGTTTGCATATCGTTTGCATCAACATCGTGGAATTATCCAAAAAAATGAACACGGTACACGCTGGCGAAACGAAACGACATTTTCAGATTTTCATTTCGCTAGCTGGAATTTCTTTTCAAGCAGCCGGTTGTGTTGTTCTTTACAGTAGGCCTTTGAAGGCGGCGAGGCCTCCATATGATGAATGGGATTCACTTCAAAAGCTTCATCATCATCATCATCATCATCATCATCATTGTATGCGGATGTCTCAGTGCGGTTTGTAATCGTTTGGTCGAGTAACATTGAATCTACTGTTCGAAAGTCCGAAGTTCAAAATGCAGTAATCGGACACTTCCTTCGTCCATCCTTCAACAGGCAGGACAATAAAATAACGAAATAATAACATCCAACTACAATATAAACAGGTAGATTGACGGCAATCATAGACAACCGATTCATCTACAAGCTGACATTACAACGCCTTACAGGTGTTCCACAACGCCCAACAACAATAGCTACCAACACCATTTTGAAATTCACCCAGCAACTAAAGAACAATGGCGACTCGAATTGGAATTCCTTGAACTTGGTTGCAACAACAGTGTGACCAAACTTTCAAACCACCATGTGTTTTACATGGTCCCGTTACAATCACGAGGGCTATAGCTGCAAACAGTGAATTATCCACGTTGACCAGCTCTCTTTTATCGCAAACTTGAAATTTCCAATGCTCTTGCCTCTTGCCACACTTGTCTTACCGCTGATGACACTTCAATAGCATCGGTCAAGACTGGCCTTTTCTTGGATAAAATATTGAATCATTCTCCACCTTAAAATATTTATCATTGATCAATAATGTCTGCGACCGGCACTTTTAACAACAAACGCACCAGCTATGCAGCTGACGACGAAACACAGCAAATTCCGAGCACCACACCCTTGGAAGCCGCAAAATGTGTTGGAATCTCTGCATTGACTGCCATCGGATCGCTCCAAGAAAAGCAAAACCACCATTTTCCTTGAGCTTCATTCTGAGTTCCTCAAACTCAAGAAAGCTCTGGAGAACCTGGACGAATATCGTCAGCCATCTGCCTCAGCACAACTTCTTGAAGATGACAAAGCATTGCATCCACCCTTGCTCTAGGTGACCCCAAGTTCACTGACAGTTCCAAAGCTTGCGAAATCTATCAAATGATGTATGATAGTGCTGGTCTTGGAGGACCGCCCATTCTCAAGTTTTCCGAATTTGCTTGAGTCACACATTGAAAAATGTGTTTGCCTCGAAACCAAGAAACAGACCAAGAACCTGGAGAAAGAAATCCAGACGCTTAAAGGTGCCTTTACAAAAAAAAATCCAAAGGGGCCAATTGCCAGGCGCCACCAACAAAAAGGAGACTGGTCAAAAGTGTCGCACATCTGGGACCAAGCCACAGCCAAAAACTGCCGCAAAAGTTGCCGGTGCCGTTACCTCCAAGCCAAAACCCAACTAAGGAAGGAAATCACAGAAGAAAGGAAAGACTTCTCAAAACAAGAAAGAAAATTCGCTCTACAATGACATTGCACTTTGGCCTCTTTGCAGACCCATCAAAATCACATTGAGTCAACCTACGCAACCACATCCTGTCACTGCCAATTCCTGTTCTTGAATCCCGCCTTTTCCAATTCTGCCTGCCATAATTTGTGCACCACCAAGAAGCCACCCTTGTTCCTGAAGTCGCTCCTTGGCCTTGGCCTTGGCCTTGGCCTGACGTTTTGCCCCCAACCCACCTTCACTACAAGCCAAACACAACTTGAAACCACACTGACTTGTTTTGCAAAAGACTTCCACACAAAGATCCACTTTGTTGGTGAGGAATCTGAATGCGGACACCAAACCAACTTTACACCCGCAATGACTTGTGGGAACTAAAGGATGGAATGGTGGATCCTGAAATCCAAGCCCAAGTCAACGCCTTCCGCAAACATCTCCTTCCCTTGTTCCACTGCCAAAAGGTGCACTCAAATCTCATCCCAATTCAACAGTACCTTCTCACTACACTACATCACAAACCTGATTTCATTGTCTTCAACTCGGACAAAAATCTTGGCCCTGTACTTCTGGAACGTGAGGCATACGCCCAACGCTGCCTTACTGACCATCTCCTCACCGAGACCTACCAACAGCTCTCCACCAAGGATGCACACGTGTTCACTACAGAAACTGGCCAACTGATTGCCAAATTTCTTAATGATAACGCATCTGCCATCACAAAAATGAACATGACGTACCTCCAGAGAACCCTTGACCGTGTCACTGACTCCTATGCCTATTTCTACGCACTTGCAAAGATCCATAAGAGCCCCTGGAAAACGCGACCAATTGTCTTGGTCTCTGGCAGCCTACTCTGGCCTATGGCCTCGGTAAATGGCTGGATCAACAACTCCAACTCATCATCCGCAAACTACCTACCTATTTTTCAAGCTTGTTTGTACTCAAAACTGATATTGACAACATGGCCGGAACCGATTTCTCTCGCATGAGTCTCTTCACTGGTGATGCTGTAGCTATGTATCCCAGCATCAATCTTGAAGACACTTTCACCCGTATTGAAGAATTCCTGTCCACCTCCTCACTGTAGTGAACGCACTCATGACAGCTTTACAACTTCTCATGACAAGAAACTGCTTTCAATTTGGAGACACTTACTGGCTCCAGACTGATGGAACCGCAATGGGCACACCACCGGCGCCCTCTTTTGCAACTCTCTACTACGGTATTTTTGAACTTGATCTTCTACAATGTTTTGGATTGTCACTACGCTTACCTACATTGATGATCAACTTGGTATCTGGATCCACCATCCCAATCCAGATTCCGATTGCCAACTCTGGGAAGAATTCAAAAACTGTCAAGACAACCACTGTTCCCTGAACTGGGAATTCTCTACTCTGTCAAAAACCACAAACTTTCTGGGTCTCACCCTCTCTGTTGAACCTTTTCAAATCAGCACAAAACTGTACAAAAAGCCACTGAACCTACACCTGTACTACTTGGCTTGGATACCAGCGGAAGTTTTTGCATTCTACAACTCACCTCTAGAGACGCAGACAAGAGAGCCTCCTTGTCAAAATTCCACTCCCACCTTGTTGCCCGCGGATACAAACTGAAGTTTCTTTGCTCTGCTTTCAAAAAAGCCCTACACCAATTTCTACGCCAAAAGGCCAGACAATATCCTTCCCCTACCTCAAATGATGAACTTTGCTTTCTCCACTTGCCATTTCACAATCGCAACCCTTCTAGCAGATCTATTCAGCAAGCCTTCTGCCAACATATTCTACGACCGTCGGCCCTAACAAAGACCTTTGGCAGAGCCTGCAACCACAACGATCAGCGGCAATAATAAAAGTAGAAAGTGATTTTGTGAGATGAAATGAAATGAAGTCAAACGGAAGAATGATGCCATTCAAAAGTGAGGACTTGCGCAACGTGAGGGTGTGGAGCTTTTCCAAGTTTCCAATTTCACTGGGCATGGGCGAGGATTCACCCAAGCCAGACATGTGAAGTTTCTCCAAGTTTTTCAACAAGGCAAGCTCAGATGGAATGGTTCCATTCAAACCATTCACATTGTAAATGCTAACTTCTTCCACCTTCAATTCTCGGTTGCACCAGATTCCAAGGAAGAATTGGGATTACCATTTGCAAATGGAATTGTTTCCCAAGAAACCAATGGAAGTGTCCAATTCATGACTGTCACTAGTATCACAAGTATTATCGTCTCTAATCAAACTGTAATATGTTGTGACGGCCACAAAATGTTCCAAACTCAATGTAATGGGCATATCTTCAATGATACAAGCATCCATTCCCTCCATCTTGTCATTGTTGGAATTTTCGCTTTTGGATTTCTTGCTGCCACTGCTTCCATCCGAACTAGTATCCGTGCTGACATTCAAGCTATCATCATCATCACTCCTGGGGGCAATGGCGGCGCTTTGGTCCTTGCTCTTGTTCTTGCTGTAGCTGCTGCTCTTGCTCTTTTTGCTGGAAGAGCTACTTTTTTTGCTACTGCCGCTGCCAGAGCCAGATCCAGATCCAGACCCATATATGGAATCAGAGCCACTGCCAGATCCACTGCGTGATCCAGAGCCACTGCCTGAACCTGATCCAGAGCCACTTCCACTATCAGATCGACTGCCCGAGCCGCTGCCGGAATCCAATCCAGAGCCGCTCTCAGAACCGCTGCCAGAGCCACTGCCGTCATTGGCAGTATCATCATCGGAACCACTGGTGGATCCACTTCCGGAACCACTTCAACTGCCGGATCCACTATCAGAGCCGCTTCCACTGCCGGAATCGCTACCATCATTGGTAGTATCATTGTCAGAGCCGCTTCTGTTTCACTGCAAGAGCCAGATCCGAGCCACTGTCGGATCCAGATCCAAAGCCAGAACCCGATCCACTGTTGGATGTATCACCGCTCTCCGGCGTGACATTGCTGTCAGAATGCTTCCGCTTCTGCTGCCACTGCCGGATCGACTTCCAGAGTCAGATCCAGAGCCAGAACCACTGTCAGAGGTATCATCACTGTTGCTGTCGCTACCGCTGCCAGATCCGCTTTTGCTACCACTGCCGGAACCGCTTTCGCTCCTGCCACTACCAGATCCAGATTCCAAGGAAGAATTGGGATTGCTATTTGCAAATGGAATCGGTTTCCAAGCAACCAAAGGAAGTGTCCAATTCATGACTGTCACTAGTATCACAAGTAGTATCGTCTCCAATCAAACTGTAATATGTTGTGGCGGCCACAAAATGTTCCAAACTCAATGCAATGGGCATATCTTCAATGATACAAGCATCCATACCCTCCATCTTGTCATCGTTCTTGATCCACTTCAAAGCCTTGGCACGAGGGTCTTTGCAAGGAAGACTGGCAATTCTCATCGAATTCACAACTGCTGGTGGATTCTTTGTCCCCTTCTTCGATTATTGGTTGATCTTTGCTCATAGAAATATCCTTGAGAGGAGGAGGGGCTGGAGTGCTGGGGAGATCGGCTCCCCAGTCAAAGGTTTGAACCAATTTGGAACCAGAAACGGATCCCCCTTGCCGGATTTCTCACGATCCTTGGAATTTTTGCTTTTGGAATTCTTGCTGCCACTGCTTCCATCCGAACTAGTATCCGTGCTGACATCCGAGCTATCATCATCATCATCACTGCTAGGGGCAATGGCAGCGCTTTGGCTCTTGCTCTTGTTCTTGCTGGAGCTGCTTCTTTTTTGCTCGAAGAGCTACTCTTTTTGCTACTGCCGCTGCCAGATCCAGATCCAGATCCAGACCCATACTTGGAATCAGAGCCACTGCCAGATCCACTGCGTGATCCAGAGCCACTGCCTGAACCTGATCCAGAGCCACTTCCACAATCGGATCCACTGCCCAAGCCGCTGCCGGAGCCGAATATGTTAAAGACTGGCATGGTTGATCACTTCAATCCAGTTGAATTTTAGATTGAATTTGGTTGTTATTCTTGTATTGCTGTACATAGATTTGTGTATGAGTATACTCTCTTATTGTGAAACTGCGGTTGTTCAGATATCACAGAAAATGTTATAAACTGTGCAGTGCTTTGTTCCGTTCTTGCTTGTTTCAGTGGTCTGATCTACAGTAATCAGACCAATGCTATTCAACTATCTTCAACTCACTTTGTTGCTTGTCTTGGGAATGACTTTTCACCTGTGCACTTGGAAGTGAAGCAATAATATATTATTGTTTGCTCATGATATATTTATTGTCATCTCAAATCAAAATGGCCTTCTTGGTGATGCTGGCATGGTCGATTGGTTGGACAGTCTTGGTAGGAAAACTTGGTTTGGCGGAGACACATCGACCTTACTGTTGAAGCTTGCAATGTACTTGTAAAAGGACTCAGAGCCAGTCCGGGTGTCACAAAACTCGTACCCAGATGCTGTGGAGAGAGTATTCTCGGAGATTGCAGCTAGCTGCTGGTTGACAATAAACTGGTCCAGTGGGATAGATATCTTGCCGACGAGAATCTTGTCAACAAAAAGGCTTCTTCCCCTCATTTTCTGGAAGTGAAAGGCATGAACTTTGACCCATAGACGTTTGTGAAGCGAAAGGACTGGAAGAACTTCTTCAGGGACGTCTTGGGTAAGGTCCAGATTCAGTGGCATCTTGCTACCAAGTACAAGAGGGCAGAACACCGAGGCAGCACAGAAGGTTGTTGATTCCACTGTGAAGTCGATGTCTTCAGGCAAGTCTGCGTCGTTGGCGTTCTTGGCGTTGCTTGGGTGGTACTGGGTGTGCTTCAGCAGACTGACGCAGCACCAGACGGCAAGGGAATCGCATGGCGGATGATGGTGTCCATCAATTGGTCGTTAAAAATCTGAGATCAGGAATTTATGAGGAGGGACGTGATCTGGAAAGATATTGTAAGTGTGTGGAGGATGGTATGGAATGTACTGCAGTGTAGGGAAATCCATAGAAGTGGCGTGTCAGCAAACGGAGAGGGAAGGGTGAACGGGAAATAAAAAAGGGAAGAAAAGTTTTAGATCTGGGAAGGAAAAGTTTTTGTTTTGGACAGGAAATTCCCCTCAAAAGGCGCTTGAGGAGTAATTTGTTTGGATAACCTTGACGGTGGAGGATTGTTGATTAACCTTGACGCAGGATATTGTAACCTTGACAGAGGACCTTGATGGAGGATTTTGTTAACCTTGACAGAGGACCTTGACAGAGGATTTTTGTTAGCCTTGACGGAGGAGACCTCAAAGGAGGATTTTTCATAAAGGCAACAAGAGCAAAAGCAAAAAAGCTGACGGTCTTGACCGAGCAGCTAAGCTCCTTCTATCGTCTTCATCATCCCACAAGCTCCCATTGCGAACAATGTCTTCGAGACGACGGAAATTGAGACTAAGGAAGAGCTAGAAACGCCCATACGTCTCCGGTCTTGCCGATCAAATTGACTGCACATAAAAATACATTTGAATTTGGTTCGTTTTTTGTCCGGCATGAAAACTCATAGAAACGACTCAAGATTACTCGGATTGGTCACACTACGTTTCTAGTCACATGTACGGTATGTATCGAATCGAATATCTCCAAATTGGCGACGAGGTACGTGTACTGTACTGTAGCTGGTAAAGATCAACTAGGACTGTACTATAGAGCCCCATCCCTTCACCGTAGTGAAGAACGTTTCATTCTTGTATTCGATTCGTCACCATGCATTTGCCAAGTACTTGCCAAACCTAGGCTAGTATTCATTCATTCATGATTATTTCATTCATTCATCTACCGCATATGTGATACGATCATGACAGCAAATACCACCAATGAGTGTACAGTACTCTAGACTACTATAAAGGAAATGGCTCATGTTGTTGTATATTGCATCTGTTGATCTTTATGTATATTTTTTGTTTTGATCTTTGAATTGTTTCCGTGCAAAGTTGTATTTTTATTGATGCATACATGTTTTTTGTGTTTGGTTGTATTTATCGATGCATAATATTGATTCAAGTTGTTGTTTTTGAATTTTCTTTCATTCAAAGAATCATTATACCTTGTCATTCATGTTGCACGGTGTTCATTTTATTGATGCGTTCGAGGGACAATGACCTCTTCTGTTTCATTTTTGGTTGTCATATTATTATTTTTTCTTTCATTTTGACTTTTGCATCTCTTGATGCATATATCCAATAGTAGTGTAGATGTACTGAATTGTGTACATACTACGGCATGCCTTCGACATACTCTTTTGGGACTTTTTTCACCCAAAAAGGAGCATTGAAGTACATACTGACTTACGCGATTCTTGGACCACAACAGCTCGAACTTAGAGCTGAAGCAGGATCAACGGTAGCGGTCGAAGGACGTGAACTCTCTTTTGATTTCGTTCAGCCTTGTTGGAAGGATCAGTGGAATAATCCTTCAGGAGAATACTATTTGGGAATAGCCCGTAACCACGCAAGGATCTTTCATCGAAGCATCCTCCTCGTCTCCAGATGTTCGTGACATTGTCAGTTGCGAGTGCAATAGTGTTGGCCAACATTTTCTGACAAGTCAAGAGCACTGAAAAGAAGAAGATAGTTTCGAGAAAGGTCGTATGTCTGGAAGCGGGTTACGGGTTGACGATCTCTTTGGAAGATCTATGGACCATCGAGCTCCATTTCATCAGTATCGACTTGCATCCAGTCAATTTCAGGTAGATCGATTTCCATTTCATCAATATCAACTTGCATCCAATCGATTTCCGGTAGATCAATGTCCATTTCGTCTTGGTCAACTTCCATCGCATTGCAGTCGATGGAAAGTCCGGAGAATCGTTTAGCAAGCTCGGTTACAGAAGCATTGCCTGTGGCGAGTTCCAAAGAAGGATGGAGCGAAAGGTAAGTCGCCATCATTTCAGCTTCAATTTCGTCTCCAGCAGCATTCAGACAATCAGATTGCGGCATGACATCTTGTGTTGCTGGTTGTGAGAAAGCCAAAGGTGCTGGATCAGACAAATCGAGGACGATCTGATTTGGCTCGTTCTTGGTGGTGGCGGTGGTGGTGGTGGTTTGCGATGACAACCCCATTGTTTCGTCGTTTTCTTCCTCCATTTTCGCTTTGGTTTCATTGCAGTTAAGGGAAAGATCAGAGAATAGTTTCATAAGCTCCTCCATGTCGTCTTGGTTTTGCTCGACAGTGACGTGACGGTCGTCCTTCATAAGGTTTCCACGTTGTTGCTTGGTTGCAAAGAAGGTGTTCATGTTTGATTATGATGTTTGGTGTTTGGTGTTATATGCGAAGCGAAGAATAAGATTGCACAAAAAGCTCGGCGCTTTGTTTTTATGAGCTTTTGGAGTGTGAAAGTCAAAGTGGCCAGAGTGCATGTTTGCATATCGTTTGCATCAACATCGTGGAATTATCCAAAAAAATGAACACGGTACACGCTGGCGAAACGAAACGACATTTTCAGATTTTCATTTCGCTAGCTGGAATTTCTTTTCAAGCAGCCGGTTGTGTTGTTCTTTACAGTAGGCCTTTGAAGGCGGCGAGGCCTCCATATGATGAATGGGATTCACTTCAAAAGCTTCATCATCATCATCATCATCATCATCATCATTGTATGCGGATGTCTCAGTGCGGTTTGTAATCGTTTGGTCGAGTAACATTGAATCTACTGTTCGAAAGTCCGAAGTTCAAAATGCAGTAATCGGACACTTCCTTCGTCCATCCTTCAACAGGCAGGACAATAAAATAACGAAATAATAACATCCAACTACAATATAAACAGGTAGATTGACGGCAATCATAGACAACCGATTCATCTACAAGCTGACATTACAACGCCTTACAGGTGTTCCACAACGCCCAACAACAATAGCTACCAACACCATTTTGAAATTCACCCAGCAACTAAAGAACAATGGCGACTCGAATTGGAATTCCTTGAACTTGGTTGCAACAACAGTGTGACCAAACTTTCAAACCACCATGTGTTTTACATGGTCCCGTTACAATCACGAGGGCTATAGCTGCAAACAGTGAATTATCCACGTTGGCTTGCTCTCTTTTATCGCAAACTTGAAATTTCCAATGCTCTTGCCTCTTGCCACACTTGTCTTACCGCTGATGATACTTCAATAGCATCGGTCAAGACTGGCCTTTTCTTGGATAAAATATTAAATCATTCTCCACCTTAAAATATTTATCATTGATCAATAATGTCTGCGACAGGCACTTTTAACAACAAACGCACCACCTATGTAGCTGACGACGAAACACAGCAAATTCCGAGCACCACACCCTTGGAAGCCGCAAAATGTGTTGGAATCTCTGCATTGACTGCCATCGGATCGCTCCAAGAAAAGCAAAACCACCTTTTTCCTTGAGCTTCATTCTGAGTTCCTCAAACTCAAGAAAGCTCTGGAGAACCTGGACGAATATTGTCAGCCATCTGCTTCAGCCCAACTTCTTGAACATGACAAAGCATTGCATCCACTCTTGCTCTCGGTGACCCCAAGTTCATTGACAGTTCCAATGCTTGCAAAATCTATCAAATGATGTATGATAGTGCTGGTCTTGGAGGACCGCCCATTCTCAAGTTTTCCAAATTTGCATCTTCTTATGATATCTATGACAAGATCCATGAGATGGCAACTGAACACACACCAACTGAAGCACCTACAACAGCCTACCGTCCAAACTTGGACCACACATGCTGTGTCACGGCCAATACCCTGATTGTGAAGATGTTCAACACAATCAACAAAGCTCTTTTTGTCACAAGCTGGACAACCTATCTTGAGCAAAAAGCTGCCAACAAAAACTTACTGAGAGTGAAACACTTCATCCCTCTGACCCGTGCCGCTACAGCTACCACCACTACTGCAATCATAGATGTTGACAACATTGACATCACTAACACTCAGTCTGTTGAGTCACACATTGAAAAATGTGTTTGCCTCAAAACCAAGAAACAGACCAAGAACCTGGAGAAAGAAATCCAGACGCTTAAACGTGCCTTTACAAAAAACAACTCCAGAGGGGCCAATTGCCAGGCGCCTCCAACAAAAAGGAGACTGGTCAAAAGCGTTGCTCATCTGGGACCAAGCCACAGCCAAAAACTGCCGCAAAAGTTGCCGGTGCCAACGCCGTTACCTCCAAGCCAAAACCCAACTAAGGAAGGAAATCACAGAAGAAAGGAAAGACTTCTCAAAACAAGAAAGAAAATTCGCTCTACAATGACATTGCACTTTGGCCTCTTTGCAGACCCATCAAAATCACATTGAGTCAACCTACGCAACCACATCCTGTCACTGCCAATTCCTGTTCCTGAATCCCGCCTTTCCAATTCCGCCTGCCATAATTTGTGCACCACCAAGAAGCCACCCTTGTTCCTGAAGTCGCTCTTTGGCCTTGGCCTTGGCCTGAAGTTTTGCCCCCGACCCGCCTTCACTACAAGCCAAACACAACTTGAAACCACACTGACTTGTTTTGCAAAAGACTTCCACACAAAGATCCACTTTGCTGGTGAGGAATCTGAATGCGGACACCAAACCAACTTTACACCCGCAATGACTTGTGGGAACTAAAGGATGGAATGGTGGATCCTGAAATCCAAGCCCAAGTCAACGCCTTCCCTTGTTCCACTGCCAAAAGGTGCACTCAAATCTCATCCCAATTCAACAGTACCTTCTCACTACACTACATCACAAACCTGATTTCATTGTCTTCGACTTGGACAAAAATCTTGGCCCTGTACTTCTGGAACATGAGGTACACGTCCAACGCTGCCTTACTGACCATCTCCTCACCGAGACCTACCAGCAGCTCTCCCCCAAGGATGCACACGTGTTCACTACAGAAACTGGCCAACTGATTGCCAAATTTCTTAATGATAACGCATCTGCCATCACAAAAATGAACATGACGTACCTCCAGAAAACCCTTGACCGTGTCACTGACTCCTATGCCTATTTCTACGCACTTGCAAAGATCCATAAGAGCCCCTGGAAAACGCGACCAATTGTCTTGGTCTCTGGCAGCCTACTCTGGCCTATGGCCTCGGTAAATGGCTGGATCAACAACTCCAACTCATCATCCGCAAACTACCTACCTATTTTTCAAGCTTGTTTGTACTCAAAACTGATATTGACAACATGGCCGGAACCGATTTCTCTCGCATGAGTCTCTTCACTGGTGATGCTGTAGCTATGTATCCCAGCATCAATCTTGAAGACACTTTCACCCGTATTGAAGAATTCCTGTCCACCTCCTCACTGTAGTGAACGCACTCATGACAGCTTTACAACTTCTCATGACAAGAAACTGCTTTCAATTTGGAGACACTTACTGGCTCCAGACTGATGGAACCGCAATGGGCACACCACCGGCGCCCTCTTTTGCAACTCTCTACTACGGTATTTTTGAACTTGATCTTCTACAATGTTTTGGATTGTCACTACGCTTACCTACATTGATGATCAACTTGGTATCTGGATCCACCATCCCAATCCAGATTCCGATTGCCAACTCTGGGAAGAATTCAAAAACTGTCAAGACAACCACTGTTCCCTGAACTGGGAATTCTCTACTCTGTCAAAAACCACAAACTTTCTGGGTCTCACCCTCTCTGTTGAACCTTTTCAAATCAGCACAAAACTGTACAAAAAGCCACTGAACCTACACCTGTACTACTTGGCTTGGATACCAGCGGAAGTTTTTGCATTCTACAACTCACCTCTAGAGACGCAGACAAGAGAGCCTCCTTGTCAAAATTCCACTCCCACCTTGTTGCCCGCGGATACAAACTGAAGTTTCTTTGCTCTGCTTTCAAAAAAGCCCTACACCAATTTCTACGCCAAAAGGCCAGACAATATCCTTCCGCTACACTGTGGACGATAGTCACAGGGGAGCGGGAGTTTTTATGGAATTATTTACCTGACCCCCGTAACTGCACAAATTTGAACATCGTACCAGTCCACGTCACGGAGCTAGGATATTTACCATGTTTCATGGTTTCTTACGGGAAATAGCAGTAAAAACAGGGATTTTTCCCGGAATTAAGGAATCTTTCTTGTAAAAATTCCTAAAACCCTGTAACAACAAGTATCCCTGGACTCCCGTAAAATCCCATGTACCCTGTAAATCAATATTCAAATCATAATGATGAGAGCCAGCATGTGCAAATGACTGTAATACCTCATTTTTAAAAACGAGGTTTACTTGCACCAATAGCATTCTTGCTTTTGGGGTGTAGCGCAATATACGAAGGGGATCAATAAATCAATACAAAGAAATAATAAAGGATATCTATAGTCTGCTCTCTCATTATAATAGGCTCTTGCGGCATTTGGAGATGAATATACGGTAAGAGACGGCTTTTGCTCGATTGCATATCTGTTCTGCGCAGATTTCAGTTTTCGCCTTCAAATAAAGAACATACCCGAATACATCGTCGAAACCCTCGATGTGATACCACGCCGCAAATGTCAATGTAAACACACACCACTACATATCTCTTCTCTTCTTGATCCATCACCGCACTCCCTGGCGGAAATTTTTGAATGTTTCCAATATTCGTCTGCCTTGGCTGAAATATATTATTGGCCATTTTGCCATTTACATTCACTATGTTCCCAGAATTCAACAATGATGTTAGAAAAATATGAATAATGGTCTCGCACCAGAAGACAAAGTTTGTTCTTACCCACTATATACATCTCGAACTGCATGGCTTGCCTTTATTGGAGTCGGTCTGAGATCATTCCGCAATTTTTAGTTTCTTGCAATTTTGTAATGATCGTCATGTAAAACACATCATCTAGGTACGCACCATATCCTTTGGGAACAAATTGAATAGCATCTTTCCATCACATTCTGCCCCGGTCCTTATTACGGCCTATAAGGACAATACACTGCAGCCACAGCTAAATAATCTTGACGGGCACATGATCTGGTATGATGAACATTACATCTTTGATCAGACCGTTCTCGTCAGATAATCACTGTATCAAACCATGGTTATTCACTCATCCTTTACCATTGAGCACGGACGAGTCCACAATATCATCAAGCTCTGTCCTCGCTTTTCGATATCGTCTCTTATTTTGTTGTTGTCTTCAGGCGAATGGCTCTTCCAACTGCTGGATTTTTGCTCGTAGTCAAGAATTTTGAACTGTACCTGTTCGTACTGGATATTGTACGAATAATTGCCTAGAATTTTTTGAATTTCATGTGACAGATGTCGCAAAAAAGATTTATTTAAAGGAGGTAGTTTTCCAAATCGACATCAAGTTGACTAACACGATTTAGAAAACTAATATTGAATATCGCCAATATCGGCAGTTTGTCCACGATGATGACGGATCGTGGAAGATACAATATGGCAAACGTGCGAAGAAAAAGAAGCGGAAGTCAAAACAACTCCGACACCTGACTCTTTCAGCGATGGGCCCTCTTCGCGCTTTGTGAAATGTTCCTTTCATCCAAAAGTTGTAAATCTTTTCCAAGGATACAACATCTCGCACTCAAGCCGATAAGTATTGTCCGTCTGCCTCATGGGGGACCTACATGTTCAATCAAACCCCACCAAGCTTTTGCGGGAAGACTTTGCGGACTACCATAATCCCTCACTCAATCGAAACTTATCTTGTCCCAATTGCAACACCAAAAACAAGGATATGCATTGAGACACGAGGAGACGAATTTGTCTGGATGGACAACATAATACGTACATTGCTCGGCTTGTTTGTAATACGGCCTGCTGTGGTCATCAATGGTATCTATGTCGCGCATGTAAATGCTCAACTGATCTAGGTCAAAAGATACAACAACATCTGAAAACAAAAACACACTCAAAAAGCGTGAGAGAATTTGAAGCACTCAAGGATCCACAATATATTCAAGACGAAAGCCTGCTCCTTGACACTAGTAATCTGACATCCACAAGAGAGTACGCTTCAACCCCCGACAATCATGAAGAAGAGGGAGATGCATGGTCCCTTTCCAACGATTACTCTATGGAGGAGACAGAAGAAGGTCATAGCAATCAGCCTGGCTACATCCCTGAACTTGGCTCTGATTGGCTAGAGATTCAAATCAAGAAGTGCAATGATGTAAATCTTGGGTACTTTGACAATTATTTTCCAAGGAAAGTAGATGATCGCCCAAACACAGCAAAATCTACAAGAATTCCAATGACAGCAAGCTACTTCCGGAGAAACGAGACAAACGGTGACGCATCCAGACTGTTAGTTGCATCTACTGTCAATAGGAATAGCAACAACAATACTGTCGAAATTGTTGATCATGGTCATGCAATGTACTCACTTCTACTGTCATCATTCGCCAGTGAACTGAGTAAACATCAACAAAGAGTGTTCACGGCGCTTTTATTTTATACAAAAGTGCATGGCGCTGCAAACAAGGCAAACACAACTATGCTTCCACTTTGTGTCCCAGAAGAACCCAAGGTACTCTGGAAACTATTCATTGATGGTACCAAATCCATTCGAGACGTTCTTCCCCGACCAACAATCCAAATCCTGGGTACCTCTGGTTATGTCTATGTTTCCATCAAGGAAATCGTCCAGTACCATTTGGCAAACCGGAAACGGCTGGAAGCACTCGTGGACCTTCCCTACAGTGCTGCTGTTCGGACCCTCCATGGATCTTCACCACGCGGAAAGAAACTCGCAGCGTCATGTTCCGAGGATTCCAAAGATGCTATTCCCGTTGAAGTCGTCTTGTGGTCGGATGACTTCGATCCCAACAATACACCAAAAAACAAGGGATCAGCCCATTGTTTCTTCGCTTCCATTGGCACACCACAAGACGACTACCATTCTGGATGCAACACTTATCTTCTTTCTCTGGGACCAAGCAGCGGAGACGAACGCACCGTCAAATCAAAGATAGCAGAAGAACTCATAGCACTTTCGCATCCCACAAGTTTCTACTGGCCTGTTGACGGCTTGAAAGGTAAACACAAATAAGATAACGGAACCACACAAAAAAAACGTTGCACTTTCGAAACCAACCTTTTTTATTGCCTTGTCGAACCCTCTTAGGGAAAGAAGTGAAGATATCACTTCGACTCTTCTGTACCCTACAAGATCGACCAGAACGATCGTCTTGGGTATGTTTCACCTATGGGAACGGCCGGTATGGTGGCAGGTTCGGATGGGCCGCCGATCTCTCGCAGGCCATTGCTTTTAAGAATCTTCCATCTTGTGCCGAGTGCCACAATTTGAGGATGACGAATGGCCAACAAAGAAGACAGCCACAATGCAACTGTGCCGATTGGAACATGATGTTCATCATTTTCAAGATTCCAAAGAACTACCCCTCGTTCTTTCGGAGCGACGAGAACCCTCTTGCGCCAGCAGATGAGCGACAATCAATTGGTGGGTCGAAAAAAGAATATATTGTGAGTCGGAGGTTGACTTTCTCTTCCTTGAAAAGAGCCTGCGACTCGACATTCCAATGCATCAGGTCGAAAATATGGTCCAAGAATAATGGAGCAGCATATCTTGAAACATTTTCTCTTTCTCCGGCATACATCAAAGAGGTTACCGAAGCTGCATCCGAAGCCATCAGCAATCAAACAATTGAACAACCTCCAATTCCTCTAACGTGGAATATCCCATCCGATGATATCGGAAACCATATTGATGTGCCGATGCACCTTTGCTTCCTTGGCATTCAGAAGTCCGTGACCAGAGACCTCTTAGCCTCATGGCTCAAGGGGAAGAAAAAAGGCACAGCCTTCAATACCCTTTCCAGTCCATTCTTGTCGCGTGTTGCCAATCTCAAATTATATTGGTGCCATGCCGAGGTTTCCCATGGATCATTCGTATCCGAAAACTGGCTTGCGTATGCCAGAATATCCAAGCGTATGCCAGAATATCCAAGTGGATCCACCAGGTGCTCGACAAACTAGGATCCGAGGCAGAAGACACGAGATACACGGACCCAGACATCGATTTTCTTTCTTACAATCTGACACAGAAAAGAAACTGGCTTCTTCATTGGAAAATCAGTTGTATCAAGAAAGATTCTCCACGTAACCTCGTTGCGCCAATCGTAGAAGACCTTTTGTCGGAAGCGAATCTTCCCCAGGTGAAAGACGTTCTGATTGGCTGGCATGCATGCATTAGCCGAATCATGTCAATCACAGAGAACCCAACCGACACCGTAATCGACGATCTCGAAAGGCACGTCAAGATCTTCCTGTCCTGCATTCAATTTTTTGACGCATCAAGACAGCAGAAATCGGGAGAGAACGGAAAGGATCGGATCCCAAAGTGGAGAACAACCTTCAACTACCTAGGTTTACTGAACTATCCGGATCTTGCGAGAGAACACGGTCCGGTTCGGCCTCTTTCGGAACTAGATTTCAAGGGTGAGGCTTCGATTCAGCTCCTGAAGAAGAGATTTTCCTCGGGAACCCGTTGATTCCACTGTGAAGTCGATGTCTTCAGGCAAGTCTGCGTCGTTGGCGTTCTTGGCGTTGCTTGGGTGGTACTGGGTGTGCTTCAGCAGACTGACGCAGCACCAGACGGCAAGGGAATCGCATGGCGGATGATGGTGTCCATCAATTGGTCGTTAAAAATCTGAGATCAGGAATTTATGAGGAGGGACGTGATCTGGAAAGATATTGTAAGTGTGTGGAGGATGGTATGGAATGTACTGCAGTGTAGGGAAATCCATAGAAGTGGCGTGTCAGCAAACGGAGAGGGAAGGGTGAACGGGAAATAAAAAAGGGAAGAAAAGTTTTAGATCTGGGAAGGAAAAGTTTTTGTTTTGGACAGGAAATTCCCCTCAAAAGGCGCTTGAGGAGTAATTTGTTTGGATAACCTTGACGGTGGAGGATTGTTGATTAACCTTGACGCAGGATATTGTAACCTTGACAGAGGACCTTGATGGAGGATTTTGTTAACCTTGACAGAGGACCTCGACAGAGGATTTTTGTTAGCCTCGACGGAGGAGACCTCAAAGGAGGATTTTTCATAAAGGCAACAAAAGCAAAAGCAAAAAAGCTGACGGTCTTGACCGAGCAGCTAAGCTCCTTCTATCGTCTTCATCATCCCACAAGCTCCCATTCCGAACAATGTCTTCTCCAAATCTCTTCAATCTGTCCGCCAACCGTGTACTTAACTGAAGCGACGCGCCGCGTCTATCAACGGCTACGTCAGCTCGTTTGTCCTTCGCTCGGATTGGGAGGGGTATGTAGAAGATAGTAGAGATGGCGGTAATGCTGTAATGAGTGGCTATTTACTGAAGCCCACTCCACGTGCCAAAGTGCCGACCGTTTGATGGAAGGTGCCTCACATTGGGCGCAATATCTGGAGCTGATCCTCTCTGTGCCGTAGCAAACGTCTCCCAGGAGTTACTTCGCTGAAATTCATGAACGGCCATACAAATCTTCTTACCTAGTTCATCATCGTGGATGCGGAACTGTTGTGCAGGTGGACTTGTGCTGAGGCGGAAAGGCGGAATTGTGGAAGTGGTTGGGAGACGAGGTACAGTGGCAGGTAAACTAGTGTTGTTATTAGTTGCCGCTGCCCCCATCACGTTGCTAGATGATGGAGCAGATGGCTTAGATGGGAACCGTAGCTGGGGGTACCATCTGCCGAAGCTTCATTCTTCAGCGTAAGCTTTCTTGCACCACTCGACAAGCTTTGCTGTGTCTTGTGCGGAGTGGGCCACATGGTCGGCCGCTCGAGGACACTTTTCCCAGCATTTTCCCTTGACGTGATAACCGACACACATTTGCACCTTGGTGCCATTGTGGGTGATCTCAGGCGGCGGAGATCCAGCTTTCTGCTCGGCCTTGGGGACAGCGGTGGCAAGGGCCAATTTCCGGAACTGGATGAGCTCTGGAACATGTGTGGAGTTCTTCACTTGGAGGCTGTTCTTTCCCTTGGATTTCGGGTCATCCTCGCCTGGCTTAATTCCTCCACCCTGTGGTGGAAAGAAGCCATTGAAGAATGGAGGATACCCCAAGGAATGAGGTGTGAGACTGGAGGCACCGGAGCTGTCAGAAGACATTGGGACCATGCCTGGGGGCATCATGTAGGGCAGGTATCCCCCGTTCCATGGAGCTGTAGGTAATTGGGCCGCTGGTGAGCTCCAGTAGTTGGCAGGAAGCGCAGCAATCCAGCTGTCGGAGCGCTGTCGGATCTGTACCAGGATGTCAACAAAGTTGGGCGGATCCGGCTGGTAGGACATAGAGCTCTCCACTTACTACCCTCAAGAAAAGAGCCGGCTTTGGCTCTGGTCGTGGCAACTTGTTGAGTAGGGCAGTGAAGTTGGCTTCATCTCACACGTATTGCTGTAGGATGGCTGAATGGCAGCAGGACTTGCCACAAGGTTAGTAGGCCCATAAGATGACTTCGTGTCTTGGAGAAGGTCTCCGGGATGTGGACAGTAGGCTTTCTCAAGGCGATGGCGTATTGTAGAGAGGCCCCCGATCCCCCGTGGACTTCTGCGTAAGCTGCTGCCCTTTCTCGGGCCGCCTTGGTAACTCCCACATGGGAGCCTCCATAGGACGGCAGGAGGATAGAGAAAGGGTGAATTTCTTCTTCAAGGTCGTCAGTCTCGTTGCCACCGAGTTTCACCGCCTTCACTTTCTTCACCAAGTCCTCAATTTTGTCTCCAGTGTTTTTTATGGCTGCTGCCAAGTCGATGAAACCCTTCCGAACTGGAACTTGGCGTCCCAGAACCAGATGCACATAGCGGTGCGGCAGAGGGATGTAGTGACGGGTCTTCGCTTGCTTGATGTTGGCATCCGTGTCCTGGAACGGTCCAATGGAGGAGTCGTCCGGATTGAGCTGGAGAATGTCCAGAGCTCGCCCCAGATCCTTTGCGACGTTTTCCTCTGTTCCAGTTCCTGGCGACATAAAGGCATCCTGTGGAAATTCTACAGTGGTGATGGTGTTGGCAACCACATCGCCGGTGAACGCGTAGGCCTTTCCATCGCAGCGGCTTGGGACCCCAGGCAGTGACTTGTGGAAGGCTGGTGCATGGACCAATAGATAGAATAAATTCCCATTGTCATTGATGAGCGACAGGTAGGCCATGGGATAAGCAGAGGTAGACAGTCCGGCGCTGTTGTACAACGATTGAGCAGGTGTAGGAGTATCGTAAACTCTGTAGTGAGCGCTTGGTAGTCTTGTTGATGGGGGTCCAAAGTGGTGTTGCCAAAAAATTCATGGTAAGCGGTCAGCTGTGGTGTTGGTGCTGCTGGTGCAGCTGCGGGTGCTGTTGGCGCTGCCTCAGTCGGCGCCGTTGGTGCTGTTGCCGCGGCCATGATTACTTGAAACTTTTTCTATTCTATGCCTAGTCAACGTTGACGTGTCTTACAACTTTGATCCTGATGCGTTAGGAAGGAGAAAAGACAAGAATATGCGATTGCTGTTGTTGAGGACTCGCTGCGGGATCTCTGCTGCGCGCACCGCGCTCGTTCAATAGTCACTTTGTTCTTCGCTCCGTCCACCTCCCCCACAACGACAATCGACAAGACGGAAATTGAGACTAAGGAAGAGCTAGAAACGCCCATACGTCTCCCGTCTTGTCGATCAAATTGACTGCACAAAAATACATTTGAATTTGGTTCGTTTTTTGTCCGGCATGAAAACTCATAGAAACGACTCAAGATTACTCGGATTGGTCACACTACGTTTCTGGTCAGATGTACTGTAGCTGGTAAAGATCAACTAGGACTGTCCTATAGAGCCCCCATCGCTTCACCGTAGTGAAGAACGTTTCATTCTTGTATTCGATTCGTCACCATGCATTTGCCAAGGATTATTTCATTCATTCATCTACCACCAATGAGTGTACAGTACTCTAGACTACTATAAAGGAAATGGCTCATGTTGTTGTATATTGCATCTGTTGATCTTTATGTATATTTTTTGTTTTGATCTTTGAATTGTTTCCGTGCAAAGTTGTATTTTTATTGATGCATACATGTTTTTTGTGTTTGGTTGTATTTATCGATGCATAATATTGATTCAAGTTGTTGTTTTTGAATTTTCTTTCATTCAAAGAATCATTTTACCTTGTCATTCATGTTGCACGGTGTTCATTTTATTGATGCGTTCGAGGGACAATGACCTCTTCTGTTTCATTTTTGGTTGTCATATTATTTTTGTTTCTTGTCATTTTGACTTTTGCATCTCTTGATGCATATATCCAATAGTAGTGTAGATGTACTGAATTGTGTACATACTACGGCATGCCTTCGACATACTCTTTTGGGACTTTTTTCACCCAAAAAGAAGCATTGAAGTACATACTGACTTACGCGATTCTTGGACCACAACAGCTCGAACTTAGAGCTGAAGCAGGATCAACGGTAGCGGTCGAAGGACGTGAACTCTCTTTTGATTTCGTTCAGCCTTGTTGGAAGGATCAGTGGAATAATCCTTCAGCGGAATACTATTTGGAAATAGCCCGTAACCACGCAAGGATCTTTCATCGAAGCATCCTCCTCGTCTCCAGATGTTCGTGACATTGTCAGTTGCGAGTGCAATAGTGTTGGCCAACATTTTCTGACAAGTCAAGAGCACTGAAAAGAAGAAGATAGTTTCGAGAAAGGTCGTATGTCTGGAAGCGGGTTACGGGTTGACGATCTCTTTGGAAGATCTATGGACCATCGAGTTCCATTTCATCAGTATCGACTTGCATCCAGTCAATTTCAGGTACATCGATTTCCATTTCATCAATATCAACTTGCATCCAATCGATTTCCGGTAGATCAATGTCCATTTCGTCTTGGTCAACTTCCATCGCATTGCAGTCGATGGAAAGTCCGGAGAATCGTTTAGCAAGCTCGGTTACAGAAGCATTGCCTGTGGCGAGTTCCAAAGAAGGATGGAGCGAAAGGTAAGTCGCCATCATTTCAGCTTCAATTTCGTCTCCAGCAGCATTCAGACAATCAGATTGCGGCATGACATCTTGTGTTGCTGGTTGTGAGAAAGCCAAAGGTGCTGGATCAGACAAATCGAGGACGATCTGATTTGGCTCGTTCTTGGTGGTGGCGGTGGTGGTGGTGGTTTGCGATGACAACCCCATTGTTTCGTCGTTTTCTTCCTCCATTTTCGCTTTGGTTTCATTGCAGTTAAGGGAAAGATCAGAGAATAGTTTCATAAGCTCCTCCATGTCGTCTTGGTTTTGCTCGACAGTGACGTGACGGTCGTCCTTCATAAGGTTTCCACGTTGTTGCTTGGTTGCAAAGAAGGTGTTCATGTTTGATTATGATGTTTGGTGTTTGGTGTTATATGCGAAGCGAAGAATAAGATTGCACAAAAAGCTCGGCGCTTTGTTTTTATGAGCTTTTGGAGTGTGAAAGTCAAAGTGGCCAGAGTGCATGTTTGCATATCGTTTGCATCAACATCGTGGAATTATCCAAAAAAATGAACACGGTACACGCTGGCGAAACGAAACGACATTTTCAGATTTTCATTTCGCTAGCTGGAATTTCTTTTCAAGCAGCCGGTTGTGTTGTTCTTTACAGTAGGCCTTTGAAGGCGGCGAGGCCTCCATATGATGAATGGGATTCCCTTCAAAAGCTTCATCATCATCATCATCATCATCATTGTATGCGGATGTGGTCGAGTAACATTGAATCTACTGTTCGAAAGTCCGAAGGTCAAAATGTACTAATCGGACACTTCCTTCGTCCATCCTTCAACAGGCAGGACAATAAAATAACGCAATAATAACATCCAACTACAATATAAACAGGTAGATTGACGGCAATCATAGACAACCGATTCATCTACAAGTTGACATTACAACGCCTTACAGGTGTTCCACAACGCCCAACAACAATAGCTACCAACACCATTTTGAAATCCACCCAGCAACTAAAAAACAATGGCGACTCGAATTGGAATTCCTTGAACTTGGTTGCAACAACAGTGTGACCAAACTTTCAAACCACCATGTGTTTTAAATGGTCCCGTTACAATCACGAGGGCTATAGCTGCAAACAGTGAATTATCCACGTTGGCTTGCTCTCTTTTATCGCAAACTTGAAATTTCCAATGCTCTTGCCTCTTGCCACACTTGTCTTACCGCTGATGACACTACAATAGCATCGGTCAAGACTGGCCTTTTCTTGGATAAAATATTAAATCATTCTCCACCTTAAAATATTTATCATTGATCAATAATGTCTGCAACCGGCACTTTTAACAACAAACGCACCAGCTATGCAGCTGACGATGAAACACAGCAAATTCCGAGCACCACCCTTGGAAGCCGCAAAATGTGTTGGAATCTCTGCATTGACTGCCATTGGATCGCTCCAAGAAAAGCAAAACCATCTTTTAACAACAGCTCTCCCCCAAGGATGCACAGGTGTTCACTACAGAAACTGGCCAACTGATTGCCAAATTTCTTAATGATGATGCATCTGCCATCACAAAAATGAACATGACGTACCTCCAGAAAACCCTTGACCGTGTCACTTACTCCTATGCCTATTTCTACGCACTTGCAAAGATCCATAAAAGCCCCTGGAAAACGCGACCAATTGTCTTGGTCTCTGGCAGCCTACTCTGGCCTATGGCCTCGGAAAATGGCTGGATCAACAACCCCAACCCATCATCTGCAAACTACCTACCTATTTGTCAAGCTTGTTTGTACTCAAAACTGACATTGATAACATTGCTGGAACCGACTTCTCTTGCATGAGTCTCTTCACTGGTGATGCTGTAGCTATGTATCCCAGCATCAATCTTGAAGACGCTTTCACCCGTATTGAAGAATTCCTGTCCACCTCCTCACTGTAGTGAACGCAATCATGACAGCTTTACAACTTCTCATGACAAGAAACTGCTTTCAATTTGGAGACACTTACTGGCTCCAGACTGATGGAGCCGCAATGGGCACACCACCGGCGCCCTCTTTTGCAACTCTCTACTACGGTATTTTTGAACTTGATCTTCTACAACGTTTTGGATCCAGATCCAGACCCATACTTGGAATCAGAGCCACTGCCTGAACCTGATCCAGAGCCACTTCCACTATCGGATCCACTGCCCGAGCCGCTGCCGGCATCCGATCCAGAGCCGCTCTCAGAACCGCTGCCAGAGCCACTGCCGTCATCGGCAGTATCATCATCGGAACCGCTGGTGGATCCACTTCCGGAACCACTTCCACTGCCGGATCCACTATCAGAGCCGCTTCCACTGCCGGAATCGCTACCATCATCGGTAGTATCATTGTCAGAGCCGCTTCCGTTTCACTGCAAGAGCCAGATCCGAGCCACTGTCGGATCCAGATCCAAAGCCAGAACCCGATCCACTGTCGGATGTATCACCGCTCTCCGACTTGTCATTGCTGTCAGAATGCTTCCGCTTCCGCTCCAGAGCCAGAACCACTGTCAGAGGTATCATCACTGTTGCTGTCGCTACCGCTGCCAGATCCGCTTTTGCTACCACTGCCGGAACCGCTTTCGCTCCTGCCACTACCAGATCCACTTCTGGTGGACCCACTATCACTGGTTGCGTCAGAGTCGCTCTCAGAGGTTTCTCTGGAACTATCGTTGGAGCCAAATATGTTAAAGACTGGCATGGTTGATCACTTCAATCCAATTGAATTTTAGATTGAATTTGGTTGTTATTCTTGTATAGCTGTACGTAGATTTGTGTATGAGTATACTCTCTTATTGTGAAACTGCGGTTGTTCAGATATCACAGAAAATGTTATAAACTGTGCGGTGCTTTGTTCCGTTCTTGCTTGTTTCAGTGCTTGGTTGTAAGCTAAGATCTACAGTAATTGTGCACTTAGAAGTGAAGCAATAATATTATTGTTTGCACATGATATATTTATTGTCATCTCAAATCATGCCCGTGACTCGTTGTCCCCAAAAAATCGATTCCCAAGACACGAACACGGCTTTTTTGCAAGACTATACGCCCTCTGATAATCGAAGATTACTTACCCCGCGGCGCCGCCTCCAATCCTGGGCTTGAATCGCATGATATAGTCTTTGTCTGGAGAAATTGCGCACGTAAAGCCTGATGCTACATACAAGAAGCAAGTTGGTTTGGCACAGTACAAAGCAACCATGACCGTGTCAAACTGTTCCACCATGAAGGGTGTGTTGTTGGACATGGAGAAATTTTTGGTTGCAACAGCAGCAAGTTGTGCTACATTGGAGATGGTGCATTTGATGTTGGCAATGGAGGTGCAGCGACCCTTTGAGTACAATTTTGTCTTCTTGGAGGCCCTTTGGTGACATGCTCACCCATGTCTTCTTGCATACAGGCTTCTACATCTTTGTTAATATGCAAGGCCAAGTCCTTATCTGTCCTGTCGGAAGGGAGGAACTGAAGGAGACTGAACCAGGACAGTGCATCGGATGGGTTTGGCTCTTTGGATCGCCGCCATCCCAGCTGCCTCGATGCAATGGATATCCCAGTCAAAGAGAGCATGGTGAGCATTGCGGGTAGGTTGGAGCCCTTTAATGGATTGCTCAAAGGCTTCGTGGAAGAAACAAAGGGCAAGTTGGAGTTTTGCCTAGAAAATGGTTCTTCCAAGCGGACAAACAATCAGCCAGTATGTATTCAACACTCCCATCCGAGTGGGTGATGAAATGGCCAAAGAGGATTTGCCAAGACAGTACTAGGACTTGCTCTTGAGCTTCAGTTGCAGCATTGTTGGTGGTCGTGGTCTTTGATGCCAAAATGGCCTCCTTGGTGATGCTGGCATGGTCAATTGGTTGGACAGTCTTGGTAGGAAAACTTGGACCAAGTGCCGAGGTGACAGCAGTGGCACGATCGGACATGCTGGCACCGGAGTCCGCATCAGTGGGGAGGGACTTGATAGAAGAGCATAAAGGGAATTGCATGGCGGATGATGGTGTCCATCAATTGGTCGTAAAAAATCTGAGATCAGGAATTTATGAGGAGGGACACGATTTGGAAAGATATTGTAAGTGTGTGGACGTTGGTATGGAATGTACTGCAGTGCAGGGAATTCCATAGAAGTGGCGTGTCGGCAAGAGGGAAGAAAAGTTTTAGATCTGGGAAAGAAAAGTTTTTGTTTTGGACAGGAAATTCCCCTCAAAAGGCGCTTGAGGGGTAGTGGGTAATGATAGAACTGTAAGTATACAAAGACTAGAAGATGTAAAAAACATATTCAGGCAAGGGAGATCCATCTTGGAGAGGGAAGGTGAGAGTTGCATGGGAAAACGTAGGCCAAGAACGACGGAGACAGGAAAGCTTGGATCCAAAATCGACTTTAAAATAGTCATTAGTACAGACGGCTTAAGCACGGATGAGCGAAAAGCAGTTGTTTTAACAGCATATTGCAACTAGAAGGGGAATATGTAGACCTTGACGGAGGATTGTTAGATAACCTCAATGGAGGACCTCGACAAGGAATATTGATGTGAACCTCGACGGAGGACCTCGACGGAGGATTTTGGTAACCTTGACAGAGGACCTTGTCAGGGGAAATTGTTTGGATAAACTCGACGGTGAAGGATTGTTGATTAACCTCGACTTCGACAGAGGATTTTTCATAAAGGCAGTGGGATGTAGACAAAAGCAAAAGCAAAAAAGCTGACGGTCTTGACCGAGCAGCTAAGCTCCTTCTATCGTCTTCATCATCCCACAAGCTCCCATTGCGAACAATGTCTTCTCCAAATCTTCCGCCCTCTTCGTCGACACTCTTCGCTCCGTCCGCCAACCG